TTGTAAATTTGTACATTACCGGTACCCTATATTTAGATTTCAATGGCATTGTTCAAGTCGTTTAGAAGATGGGGACATATTTTTTAACAGCATGGTGTGTCATTCATACAGGTTCTAGCGAGGTAAGGTCTTATTTTCTCACTTCATTTAAATTGTTCAGGCATTCACAGGAACTGAGGCTGACCTTAAATTATTTTATTGCACTTTTCCGCGATCTTTTTATTTTATTTTGTGTGTCAACCTGAAATATATCACGAGAGTTATTTCCCTTTACTATGGCTATGGTTTGATTCATTATTGAAACTGGTTGATCAAGACGAAAGCGTCATAGGTGTCGCTTCTCAACAAAATGGTTGCAGACGAAAGCACGTCCATTCCCACGAAATGATTCTGCCTCTATGTCTGTGGGGCGTCGTTTTAAACATGACGACGATATTTTCAATATCCGTTTTCGAGAAAAATAAAGGCACAACCCGCACGATCGTTAAAAACGTGTTGAGGGAGTTTCAAACGTGAGTTTGTCGCAATTTGTGTGTGAGTCGTGCATCATGAAAAATCCCGATGTCATTGATTTGTTTGCCAATAAAAGAAGACGAATGTTTGCACCGGGAAAATTATCAAGCTGTCAAATTAGCTCTTAAAAAAAAAATCTGAAAAAAACCCCGACCTACCGACCCTTCTCCTCGATTGTGGGTCGGGTTTGGTGAAACAAAGATATTTTTAAGGTCAGCCTGACACGCGAGCGTTTAGCAGTAAAAAGTTGGTCAGTATATAATTTACTGGGAACTGAAATTTTTCCGACAAGGATTCAATAGGACGGTACCTGAACGTACAGGGCGAGTGTAATGAGACCTACGATCAGTGCTGAACTAGTGATGCACATGCTGCATCTCTGTTGTTAAATCAACCGATCAGCCTCCTTTTGTTGAGATTGAAGTTGAACATTCTCAAGTTTAGTAATAGGTGTCACAGCTCCATTGCCCACGTTGGAAGAAAGTCATTTTTTCCCGATTTGTAACCCCTTTTCAACTTAACGTCATACGGTGGCTATTTAATATTTTGTAATAATTTTAAAATATTTTGGAAGCCGATATCCTGTTCTTTTGTTTGATATAATTTTTATATATGTGTTCATTTTATTAATTTCATAAACGTAAGTTGAAAAACGTTAATTTCCCGTGTTTTGACGTTACGCTGAAAAATTTTGTCACGTTTTTAAACGAGGGTACCCCACTTCAAGTGCTCGGCGGGCGCACTTATTATTAATATTATTTTTTCATTCTAATATCATTAGAAAGATAAATGAACGATCTTTCAATTGGTCGGGGGTGCTTTGTTGGCATTTCGAAATAACATGCATTTTTTGCAAGTTGAACGCTTCAATTCACGCAATCTTTTTTTTAGGCGATTTGTCAATATAGCACCCCCGACCGATTGAAAGTTCGTTTTATTGTCGTTTTGATGCTATTAAAATCAACAAAATCGGAGCATGGCAAGTGCGCCCGCCAAGCAATTGAAAATGGTATACAATGAGAAATTTTGTCAAAAATAAATCACGTAGTTTAGCCTTGTTATGACGTCATTTCAACACCAAAACTAAAATGTATTCCATGTTCCTTAGACTCATATTCGCGGTAAATTACGTCGAAAGGCAACTCCGATGTTTATTTATGAAGTAAGCGTTATGTTATATGAATAAAGGACTTGCCTGAAAATAAATAAGGATAGTTAATTCCATTTTTTTCACGCCTTTTAGCTTTGCTGGGTTGACTGTGTTTACATCACGTGACTCATATTCGCGCGCTTTTATAACCATGTGACAGGATATAAATATAAAATCGAATGGAAATTTCCTATCGGCGACCACACGTCTTTACTTTTAACACCAAACATTTTTCAAGAATTGAACAATTCCGTAAAATTGACGAATGTTTCAATGCTCTGAAATCATAAATTCGCTGTTCACTGAATTATTCAAGCCAAATTTTAAAGCATTTCTGTGCACACGAATGGAAATGAAACCGGAAAACATCCACACGGGTCTTGGTACTGACAGCAGGCGTGAGGAAGATAGTATAGGTACTACTGATAATTAGTACATCGATTTCTATCCACTTAAACGGATATTATACCCAAATATATAAAGTTGGACCAACTAGCTGAAATAATTTGAAAAATGGCTCAATTTCTGGATTTGCCGTTGGCGATTTGCAACATTTCGTTTGAGATGATGGAACCGACATAGATTATGAATTAGGTCAGTCATGTCAATACTAATTACTATCATCACTCAGTATTGATACGGATACCCAATTTTCGCAAAACGTTTTAGTTTTTACTAAATAATTTAGCATTATATAACAGTTGTCATACTAATTATTATAATTTTAATTCTTTTTTTTAGGAAAATATATTTAACACCTCGAGTATCACATATTTGTTGGCCAGTTAAACAATTGAATGAACCGACAAACCTAAGGCCTTAATTGGGCCTTGGTTCGATATTTGTTTACATTGATTAAAATATACAAAAAAGGAAGCTGCTCAATGGGCTACATACCAATTTGAAGGAATAACATAAATATTCAGAAGTGAAGTAAAAACATAACAATTCTTTGAGTTAAATTGTAGCTTTTAGGCCTAGGCCTTTATAAACATGACTAGGCCTACCATAGCCTATCAGTAACTGAGTAACCTACTTTTACTCTTTAGTCTTTAAAGAATAATTTTTTATTGGTCAATGTTATCTTCTGAGTAGAAAATAATATGTAAAAGCAGAATTCTAACAATAATGTAAGCAAGGAATGCTGAGAACAATGATAATGCAACAAGAGTTGTCCGTTTTTTAAAATTATGTGGTTGCTATGACAACCATCCAAAATCCTTAATAATTCACTAAAATTATATAATTCTTAATATTTTGTATTACATGGGCTATAAATATATGCTAAAAAGCTTTCTGCTACTGTACTTAAAATGTGGCGATCAATTGGTTTGTCATGGTAAACATCATTGAAAATGGAATAACGTTGCCTTTTTTGGGGTGTTTGTTTTCGTTTTGATTGCTATAAAAACCAAATATTAAGTAATATACAAGAGTAAAGATAAGTAATTTTAAAAATTCACAAACATATTTACTTTTAAACAAAATTTCTCTTCAAGATCTTAATTCCTTTTATATTTTATTTATGTCTTAATAATGGCCAAAATGGACAACTAGCTACTGCAGAATGTTCTTCAAAAGGGAACCCCTTTCCAGCTCTTGGGAGAAGACATATAAATATTTTCATTTTATTTATTTTTTAAAATCTTGTCCAATAGCTTCTGTTTTTAAAATAATACAATTATCAATATTGATGTCATGATTATTGGAAAATAATGCTTTTCGGAAAAAAATAAATGTGGTTGCTATGGTAACAGCCCAAACTCCTTATTATTTTTCTCAAATTTACACAATCCATATCATTTAATATTACATGGGTTTCAAATATTTTAAACTGCTTACTTTAAAATGTGGTGATGACCTTTTGGGTTATGGTAAGTAGCGTTGAAAATGGTCAAAAATTGCATTTTTTCCATTTTGGTTGCTATGACAACCAAAATTGATAATATATGGCGGATTGGAAATAAGTGATTTTAAAAATTCACAAACTTTTTGACATATTCCCATAATTTCACATGTGTATCTCCATTCCTTCTTATTTTATTAATGTCCCAAAAACGCCCCAAAAATAGGCAATTGTGTGCCGCGGAAAATTGTTCAAAAATGAACATATATTCAGCTCTTGAGCGAAGGCATATATATATTTTTACTCTTTTTTTTTTCGTTAATCATACTTGATAGCTACTGATTTTAAAATGCATAACAACCAGGTTCAAAATTTCAGATATAACATGCACAAGACCATTTTTGATGAAAAAATTGACCAAAATCGCTCTGACAAAATGGAATTTTTGAGAAAACCTATGTATTTTGCAGTTACTGTGGAAATCGGTGTAATTATTACAAAAATGTGAAAATTGAAGCATAATTAGCCTTAAAGTTGTATTTCATGAATTTACATCTTCATTTTTAATAGGTTTGATATGAAATGAAATATGGCATCACAAAAAACACCAAAAATGGCTTTTTCAAAGTGTTGAAAAACCTTTCTTCCGCGAAAAGTCAAAAATCGCAACTTTGAGCCTCAATAAAAAAAAAAGTTTTCATCCGATTTTGAATCTGTAAAAAGTTTTGTGAGAAGAATGATGAGATCTACTTGGAAAGCTAATAAAATCAAATGTATAATCATAATCTCAAAATCACCTTTTCCACCTATTAGTAAGTTAAATTCCTTTTGAATGTAGCCCATCTCTGGCTATTAAGGCAAACTATAAATAAATGCGTCATTTTATCATCTCGAAATAGCCATGTCACAAATTATTTCAGGGAAAGGGATTGAGAGTTTAATAATGATTGACTGACCGGGTTTGACGTTTGTTTTTATTTATTTTGTTGAACTTGACAGTTAACATTTCACACGAACTTTGTCACATTCACACAACTATTTCAATGAAAACCATGAATCAAAAGAGAAAACAGAAGTTCATTAATTTATAGAATGAATATTAAAGCAAGCAGATGGGAAGAAATGAGAGTTACACTATTATTTTAAGGCCTTTCAATGCTTACAAAATTCTAAAATGCCTACCTCCATATTGAATAAATCTCTAAACAAAATAATATCGATACAAACCAGTTTTCTCGAAACCTAAGAATTCTCAACAAATCAAATTGAAGCGAATGATAAAAAATTACAAAATAATTTATTGAAATCTAATAGTAGTAGTTCAATTTTTTTTATTTTTCTTGATACTACATTTGAAAATAGTAGAATACAAGTTGGTTTGGAGATTAGAAAATAATCACATGATCTGTAATTTCCAAGATGGTGGGTATTTTCCGTATTTGCTAAAGTTTGGGAGAGTTACAAAGTTATTTACGCCCTATTTCGCAACATAAGAGATCACCTCTATGCATGATGTAATGCTGGGTTACAGTGCTTTAGACAAGAGTGTCAATTTCCAAATGATATCGTGTTTTCTGTGCGTGAATTGTTGTTGAACAGAGAATTGAGACGTGAAGTTGTTTTTGTAATCAAATGACAGTCGAAAAGTCATTCACCCCTTTATCTTTATCACGTGCACATAGTCAATCAGTGATTTCATAATGTCATTTAATATGGCTTCAGAATCAGATACTGTTATTATTCGAGTGAATTAGTTTTTGCTAAAGGTTCTAGATTCTAATGTCAACATCTGCCAAGAAATATTTAAGCTTAGGTCGTTATTTCCAATGTTATTTGCATGCATGGTCCATTTTAATTTTTAAAAAAGTAGTTGTGCATGTCATCCTTTTTTTTCGAAAAAATAATGGAGAGGGGAAGGGGTGTATAATATGTAACAGGCATTGCCTGAGTGAGTGAAGCTGATATGATAGTTGTTAAATATAAAAACTTCAATCATAATTGTTTCTCAAGTGATATAAATAATTTTAATTAATTTCATGTTTCCAAATTGATTTTAATTTAGATCTAAATTGTATGATTAATTTTGTTTAAAAAATAAAAGAACATAAAATTGTGAGAATTATTTTCATTGATGTCAGAAACATGTGATGTCATTGATTAAACGCACATCATAAAAATATTTCTATGAGATGCGTTATCTCGCTTGGGCGAGATTTGGTAAGTTGGCATGCGCTTTGCCATGTTTGCTCAGTGTATCCGGTTCCGATCTGAATTTTTTTTTTAAATCAACAGTCTGTGGTGACAGTTTTAGTTACGCTCCTGTGTTACCGGAACTGCGCGTTGCTTAAGAGCTTCGCTCTATATTATTATTTTATGAAAAAGAAGCAATACCCCAGGAATATAGCTTTACTTCATGTAAAAACATTTTGCCGTCATTACTGAATTAAACTTGAATTATGTGTAATGCAACATTATCAACATAATTGTACTGTTGACTAATATTTAAATACCAAAATAGTATTTGACATGTTGATGAATGTACCAGCCTACTTGTTATGGTACAGTATTATCAGTCACCAGACAACTCGGACCCAGACCAGTCGGACCAGATTATAGAATGATCTTCTGTCTTGGTCCGAGTGGTCTATCAACTAGTCAGAGTTGCCATACATTCCGTGCTATGCATCGAATGGAAAACATCGAAATAAGGTTGGGTGTCGATTGTCAAATGTATTGGAGGGTTATCAACCCAGTTGATGTAGGAAAGTAGGATGTTAAACCCCATTTCATTATCATTTTTGTCGATATAAATGAACATGAGTGTTTTACTTAGATTTAAATTAATTTAACCTTCATTTTGTTTTTCAGTCATATACAGGAGGTGATCAAGGTGATAATTTTGTGGGTTCATTTCCAAAGGGATTTGGTTATGGCCCAGAGGAACATGACTCTGATATTGGAGCCAGTGGAGGGGATGAAAAACCCAGAATTTTGTTGATGGGATTGCGGAGGTAAAAAAAAAATTTTGTAATGGAAGTTTTATTTAGATGGGGAGGGTCAAAATAGTTACCCATTAACTTTTATCAACTGGATTTTCATTTTATCAAATACCCAGAATTTGTTTACATTTTGCATGTAATTGAGGGCATTGGGTAGGATTTGATGGTCACCTCTCTCCCCCTCCCGTTCTTATTTATTTGGGATGTTGATCTGTGGACCAGTTATTTGATACTGTATGCAAATTTAATGGAGACAATGTTGACTGGAATAACCCGATTCAAGGCTATCTACAGCATGTAATATTTTGCTTTAAGCACTATTTTATTCCATTTAATGATATTTTTACAGAAGTGGTAAATCATCTATTCAAAAAGTTGTCTTTCATAAAGTATCACCAAATGAAACTCTGTTCTTAGAGAGTACGAATAAAATTGTCAAAGATGGTGAGTGAGTTGTTTGGTTTAACTAACATCATTTATTATTGTATCATTGCTTAAATACGACTAGAGAAGCCTAGTCAAAAAGTCACTCAGTACTAATATAGTATATAGTAATTGTATTCCATAGAATCGTGTTCTGTGAATTTCAGTGACATTGAAACATGTTGATAAATCATTTGTCGTGTTTTCAATAAGGAAACAGTTAAAGTGCACATAAGATGGGTTTGGAAACTTTGAGATACGTGTAGCCAATAGTTACTATATCCATTTTACGGCAAGTTCACACCAATCTGATTGAACTTAATTCAGCTATCTTCACTCAAAGTCGCAAAAATAGACCTCCCGTAAAAACGACTTTGCCAATTATCGAAAACACTCTTAATCCCCTCAGACGCCAGTGACATCACAGTGACCGAATGCATATTCGGAATGTTTATTCCTTAATTACCTATATACAGCTGGCGTGTGTATTCATTAACGCTTGACTGACTCCTTAATCCCCTAATTAAATAAAACAATTGACTGTGGAATAATTTTTGTAATTTATTTTAATTTAAGATCCTATTTAGAATTTGTTTTATAATGTTCCGCCCTCTCTTCTCACAACAGCGATTTTAAAACTGTGTTTTAAAGTGACTTTTTGATACGAGCCACTCTACCATCGTGTGCAGTCCAAACGATTCGAAATATATTTCCGTCAGAAGAGTATTGTGGTTCTAATTTCCCTGAGTAAAAGAGTACAGAAGTAAAAGATGTGGTCATGCAAAATGAATCATTAAAGTCAAACATGACTGAAACGTGATTTTTTAATGACGATCCGTAGCTCGATTTCCTGTAGTCATCGTACAACGTCTTTCTTTTTTCATGTGGATTTGACTTCATTACTCTGAAATCGACGATAAAAATGAAATACGAACAAATATCTCAATATTATCATTAGAATTAAGAGATTGAGAACGGTCATCTATCTTTGTGTATTGATAAAGTGTACTGTCGTTGAGATCTATCATTAATCAACCCGACTAAAGTTGCAGACATGGGGCCATAAATTAATTTACATATCGATCAGGATAATGATTAGCGTTGCACACACATGGGGTTATAAATTAATTTACAAGTAAAGATGTTAGATTAAGAATGTTGATTAGGTTATTATTAGCCCGCCAGATCAAAGACTCCACGAACGAACGAACGACACAAGTTACAGGGGAACTTTGCTGCAAACATTTCTCCACACCACAACTAATCGTTGAATCGTACATTACTCATCAGTTGTTTATAATTATTTTTTACCCAATAATCAATTAGATTTGTTCACCGATGTTTTTGTAAAAAAGTAGCCTCGTATTATTTGTTGATTGGCGTTTAGACAATATTTAATGGACTTGATACAAAATCTGAATATAAATTATTCGATAGATAAACGTTTGTGATAAGATTAGGTTATTGTCTAACATCGTTTAACTTCTTTATAAAAAAAGGTATTTAACAATTACATTCACACTTTAATAGCTCACCAAACGGCATCAGAAACTTTAGTCACGATGATCACGTGTATTTGATATTCATGTCCATGAATCCCATGCAATTGTCGCTCCAAAATTTAACCTCAGTTACTACGGCCGTAGTATGCATAGCACCGTACACGGTAATAAAATTCCCAGCGTTGATTGGCTGAGAAATGAGGGCCATCTATTGTTATGCATATATAGTTATTGAACAATTAAATATTCGCCGTGAATTTCAAAAGGAGTTACGATATAAATTGTTTGTGTATAGAAATGGTTATTATAATTATATATAGCCAATAATGAATATAACGACAAATTACTGGCACTATTTGTATTTCTGTGCTTATATAGAGATAGTTTGGGAAATCAAATATTATCCAAATTACCGGTAAATGGGCTAATTGCTTGGATCGTCTTCATCTGTCACGTGACCTTTTTAAACAAAGGATGCTTAAATTGGTCTACGGCATGATAAAGCATTTTAAATTCACTCGAAAATACTCCAATCACAAAAAGTCGAATCTATAACAGTACAAGATGATAATTCGGTGATTATGATTAGGCCAGTCACGTGTATGATGTGTATGGAGATATACTGTACAGGTAGTGATATATTGTGTATAGATAATGTATATACTATGTGTAGTGCCTGTGACATCACCAGCCAATTAACCGGATTAAGGTCGTTATTGAAAAATTGAAAAAGCGTTTTTGCGTGTCGGATACTCAAACGTTAATAGCCAAATTAATTTTAATCAGATTGGCGTGAGCTTGCCGTAAAGTGGATATAGTAACTATTGGCTACACGTAGCGAAAAAAAAATTTGGCCATCTTATGTGGTCTTTAAGTATTGTATTTGCATGTGTATAATGTCCGATTTTAAATTATATCATTGCTTGTTAAGGACTAGAGAAACTTAGTCGAAACGTCGTTCAATATTAAACAGTAATTATTTGTATTTGGTAGAATTATGTCCTGTGAAATTCAGATTTCAGCTTTTAATCATACAAACTAGAAAATTTAAGCCCCATTATGCCTACTTGAAACATATTTAAATAGTATCTATTGTTCATCTCTTTATAACAACATCACTCTCTGTAATGAAACAGTATTTTGGTTAGAATTTAAGAACTTGATTTTTAGTGATTTTTGTTATGTCGATTTGAGAACTATAGAGGTTTATGAGACTACTATACCAGGATTCTTAATCCATTTTGAAACGGACCGGCTAGAATTGGGTCAAATGAGGTCCTGGTAGGAAATGGGTTAATTATCAGCTTCCATTCCCTTTAATATAACGAGACTTCAACAAAAATAATTCTTGGTAATTTGTTATGGAGAATTTCGTATCCTGATGTATGCGATTACCACAAAAATAACGACAATTAGGTACACCTTTTGAAAATTTTCTATATTTAATTCACGTACCAGCTTTCAAGTTCATGTCAGTAATTCTGAATAAATTACTATCGTTTATTTGATGAAATGTTCATGTTTTCAAAAATATTAGCATTTTTCTACTATTGCCAGTATCAGAAAATGTTGCAGCCAAAATAAACTGATACGACATCATGGCATTTGTAGTTTTGTGTCTTATCACGTAACTTGCAAAAGTTTTTATTCATTCGTCGATGATAGACAAACGGCACAATATTGTAACCTGACAACCATAATTGAAATTGCTTTAAAATAAGATTCCGTACAATTATGATATAGCCTTCAATAAAAACGACAATATTTTTATAATTAAGCCTTTGTCAGAATGTGTATATAATAATATAAAAAAACCATAACGGTAAACACTATTTAAAACTGGTTTATTGACCTAATTCCAAGCGATATGTCACGTGTCATTGGAATTCGGCATTGGACATTCTGTCAGAAAAATATATTATTAATGACTGTTTCTCGGTGAATTCGGTGTTCTATCAGGGGTTTATACTCAATGAAGATGTAAATTTACCTAACAAATGGTCAGTGAATCCATCAATGTATGATCCAGCTATTATTTTAATATCTACCGGTACCTGGAATTCATACGGAGTGTGGAAGACGCTTGATTGGCAAACCATGCCGAGATCGTCTTCTTTTGCCACGTGGGCTATTTTTATAAAAGCAGCTTACTGAACCTGTTATGAATAATCAGCAAGCTTGTTTTATCCAGTGGTTTTGAATCCCCCGTTGTACCTGACAAGGAGTAGGGTCGCCTGTCCAACCTCGTGGGTTTTCTCAGGGTCCTCCGGTTTCCTCCCACTGCTAAAGAGCCATATGCGCAAGCGAATTATTGAAATAAAATTAAACCATATGTTAGTCCCGAAATGACATAGTTTGTGTCGAGTGGACGTTAAACCCCATTTCTCTCTCCCTCTCTTTGTTTTATCCAGATTACCGTTAAATGTGCTAATTAGGCTACTCAGATTATGAGCCACATGGCCGATTCTCACTAAGGTACATGTATGGCTGTTGTAGCCGGCAAGCAAGTTGATTGACTTCTTAATGAACATGTTATTATTAACCTGATGTAATTTAGCCGATAGTAGATTGATTTATGATACCATAGTGGCCAGTTCATTGTTTTACCTATCGGCTAGATTAAACATCAATCGGCTAAAGCCGAAAAAAAACCAACCAATTAAGAACACTACTATACATTTATAAATAACCATAATAATAGTATCTACAATGTATGCATACACTGGACGTGGTTAGTTTTTATGCGCCCACATTGACATGTGGTCATATATTGTCGTAAGTTCTGTCCGTCCGTGCGGAGATCTGACATCCACAATTGCTTGTGGACACTCCAGATGCTAAAGTTAATACCCGATTATCTTTAGATTCATACACAGTGTTTAAGGTCATGGGATGAGGAAGTCTATTATTTTTCAACAATTTCTTATCATTACTACCAGAGTTATGGCCCTTGTTATAAATTAATAACAATATCACTACTTTAAGAAATGATTAATTTTCGAACTCAGATGTAAACTAAGTTGTTTTATCTTACAGATGTGTCGAACAGTTCATTTGTTCGTTTTCAAATATGGGATCTGCCTGGACACATAGATTTTTTTGATCCAACTTTTGATTCTGAAAATATATTTGGAGGGTGTGGTGCTTTAATATTTGTGATTGATGCACAGGTAAGTTGGCGTATACCTTTATTTTACAAGAATTTATAAACCATGTTGGATTTTTGTAATATGATGGGTTATGGGGGACGTAGTAGTTGAGCCAGCAGGGAACTGGACTCTCCACTAGAGGGTCCTATTTTCAGATCCCTGCATGGGTTGAGAAGAAATGAAGTGAGATTGAGTTTAACGTCCTGCTGTTCTGCTTCGACTAGGCAATGAAGATGTTCATATGCCATACAGTGTGCTATAAGAGAAATTTTGCTCAGACAGCAGCACTCAAGCCTTCCCTTATATCAAATTCCAACTGTCAATGGATCTTTTACGTCCACAACAATTTGTATATATGACCTTGATTTTTCATCCCATTCGAATGACTGTACGTTGTCCATCGCAGACCCTCTGTCCTGTACCACTGACAAGGGTTAGCAATCCGGAAAATCCTGATGAACTGTTTCTTGAATCGTACACTGGAACTCCAGGTTAGCAAACGAGCATATTACTCACTGAGCCACCGCAGCTTCTAAGTTGAGTTGAGAAGGACTGTCCACTTAAAAAAACAACTAGGAAGTTGAAATTCTATATAGATTACACGGAAACACCCCTATAGCACACTGCATTGCATATGTCGGCAGTTAAACCCAATTTCATTTCATAAAAAAAATCTTACATAATTATATTTTTTGTTTCAGGATGATTATATGGAAGCATTAGTCCGATTACACAGTACAGTGGAACGAGCTCATAAAATAAACCCTAATATAAAATTTGAAATATTTATACATAAAGTTGATGGTTTATTAGATGACCACAAAATAGAGACACAGAGAGACATACATCAAAGAGCATGTGATGATTTAGAAGACGCTGGATTGGAAAAAGTTAGTTTAAGGTAAAAAAAAATCTTATTCAGGCCAGATCTATATTTCGTTTCGTTTTTCTATCCCGTCTTCATTAGCCCAGTTCGGAGCAAAACAGTAGGACGTTAAACCCCATTTCATTTCATTTCATTTTCATTTTTCTATACTTGTGAGATGAGACGAAAAACCGAGGTCCCGTGTATACATTAGAATGCACGTAAAAGATCCCTTGGCAGTTGGAATTCGATATAAGAGTAGGCGATAGTGCCGCTGCCCGGGCAAAATTTCCCTCAAAGCACACTGTATGGCGTATGCCCGTCTTCATTAGCCCAGCATAGGAGCAGAACAGTAGGACGTTAAACCCCATTTCATTTCATTTCTATACTTTCGAGGGGGGTTGGATGGCTGAATGATTAGCGTGCGCGCTGTATCATAAAGTCTGTCATTGAGTCGACTGGCGTGGTTTTGAATCCCCGGTTGTACGTGGCAAGGAGTAGGGTCGCCTGTCCAACCTCGTGGGTTTTCTCCGAGGCCTCCGGTTTCCTCCCACTGCTAAATAAAATTAAACCATATGTTAGTCCCGAAATGACCTAGTTTGTGTCGAGTGGACGTTAAACCCCATTTCTCTCTCTCTCTCTATACTTTCGATGACCTCCTTATCGGTTGTAGTTCAAGGTGGCATCAGAGGTCATACGATGTCAGTCATTCGAATAACCAATCAACATCAGTGTTTTAAGTGGGTGTTCGGAAATACAACTTTTACTTTGATTTGTTTTCTGTCACTGCAAAATCCACCCACAGTTCCTTATACCATGATTTGTTAATCCATCACATCAACCAGAACGCAGGTTCTTCAACACCTCTTCCTAATCCTGGTGTAGTGAAAACCAGTGAAACAAAATTTTGAACTATAAAAAATGAAATAAAGTTTGTGAACATGTTAATAAAATTTGTGAACACAATAATAAAGTTTCTGAACATATGAATACATTAATAAATTTTTTGTTGAATGGTGTAACTTGACATATTGGTTTCCTTTTCAGTTTTCATCTTACAAGTATTTATGATCACTCGATATTTGAAGCGTTTAGTAAAGTTGTACAGAAATTAATTCCCCAATTACCAATATTAGAAAATCTGTTAAATATTCTCATTTCTGTAAGTACATATTTAATTTATCTTATCATGATTTAACATGCAAAGAAATGGGGGGGGGGGGCGTGGTAGCGTCATTAAAACCATGTCCTTAGAGCAGTGTTTCTGGCAGGTGTGTGAAGAAATCAAAGGCATCTTAGTCCATGTAGGATTGGTGGCATGTAGCGATCGCTTGAAAGCTTAATCCCAAACTCCAAATTTGCCTAGTCGCCAAAACTTATTATTTAAACGAAAATATCTTGTCACAAATTTCTAATATAAATTCTTTAAAGATCATAGTATGGTAATCAAATTAACACTGTAGCCTACATTTGTTATGTGTTTTTAAAAAGCACATGTCAAGCAATTTTCTAGTGTATAGAAGATGCTTGGCACTGTTTAACTTCTGTTTTAGCAAACCCCATTTCATTTGAGTTATATTATTCCCTATAATTTTGGTTTGCTTTATTGTAGAATTCGGGGGGTTGGATAGACGAATGGTTAGCATGTGCACGTTGTATCATAAGGTCTGTCATTCAGTCACATGGCATGGTTTTGATGCCCTGTGTGTATGTGACAAGAAGTAGAGTCACCTATCCAACCTTGTGGGTTTTCTCTGGGACCTGGAGCCGGTTTCTGCCCACTGCTAAAGACCCCTACGCGCAAGCGAATTATTGAAATAAAATTGAAAAATATTAGTCCCAAAATGATTTAGTTTGTGTCAAATGGATGTTAAACTCTATCTCTCTCTCTCTCTGTGTATTGTAGAATTCTGGTATAGAGAAGGCATTTTTATTTGATGTTGTTAGTAAGATATATATAGCTACAGACAGTTCACCAGTAGATATGCAGTGTTATGAATTGTGTTGTGATATGATAGATGTCGTTATAGATATATCCTGTATTTACGGGTAAGTTCACTGTTAAACTGAACCTAGGTCTTTTACTAATGAAATTTCTTGTCATTAACCCTGTAGTGATTGGGAATCACATTACCAGAACACAAGTTTTATTGGAAACAATCCTTTGTTTTATTATATAAGCACAACATTTCGATAAGTATTCTCTTATTGTTATCTTTATGGCTTGGTTTCCCCTTGTCAGTGGTGCAGGATGGAGGGCCTGACAAGGACAGCTGTCTAGTCATTTGGATGGATTGAAAAACCGAGGTCCCATGTACATGTTGGTGTGCACATAAATAAACTATTGGCGGATGGAATTCGATATAAGAGTAGGCCGTAGCGGTGCTGTTGGGGCAAAATTTCCCTCATAGTACACTGTATGGCATATGCCCGTCTTTCTTAGCCTAGTCGGAGCAGAACAGTAGGACATTAAACCCCATTTAATTTCTCTTATCATTATCAAGCACATTGATAACTATAAGAGGGATACTTGTCGAAATGTGGTTATATAATAAAACCAGTGATTGTTTCCCATAAAAATCGTGTTCTATTAGCCCGTGGGTTATTTTTTTATGTTTAAATCACATAGTCTAGAAACTAGCATCTACAATAAATAGCAAAACGTGTTTGTATCTTTAAAGGCTCAATACCACTCTTGTTGTAACTGAATAATATGTCCCAATCTTTATTCTGGTCAACAAATTGTACTATTTTACAATATTCCAATTAATTGGTGATATAAATTTCATCTTAACACACCTAATTTAAAACATTGAAAAAATTCAACTAAATGATTTGAAAAGCCTGACGTAGAGCTTTTCAAATGTGACATGGATTTGAAAATATTTTTGAACCCTCTGGACAAGTAAAATAGGATTTAATGGATACTTTACACAACAGGTAGGACAATAACACATCTAGTACTTAGAATAAGGCTATTTTTTATTTTTTGGAGCTGTCAAGCCAGCAAGAGTGTTATTGTCCCTTTAAAAACCCTGTATTTATTTGTAAAAGCCTGTAGTGCTTTTTGTACCCTGCATATATCTGTATTTTTTTTTAGAAAGCATGTACGTTTTTTTCTTTATATTTAAACTACATAATTTGACAAAATTATTAAAGGAGTTAGCTGTGATTTTGAATTTTCTGTCTGCAACACGCAATTTTGCACTGATATCAAGAATTTGCATGATCTCTTGTATGATTTTGGCAATGACATTTCTATATGAGCAATTTTATACATCAGCACTCAAGCACTCTAGCAACAGGTTGGAAATAATGTTGGGTTTTATGGGGTGGGAGGGGTGTAAATCTTAAAGGGGAAGACCAACGATTTTCAACAAGGTTTCCATAAATTTTAAATATATATTGATAAATAATCCCCTCTGTAGCACAGGCAAAAAAGTTTTTGTAAGTAAGAAATTAATTTTTATTCAAACCGGAAGTGACATAGTTGGTTCAACACGCTCACTGGGCTCTATAGTAAGCATACAGATTCGGCATAAGTTTACTGCTGTATTGTGTTCACACGTCGTCCTTTAACCAAAAATCTGATCAAATGGACTGTTTATTAGGATATTATAAACACGAATTTATGATTTTTTTTAACGTTTAGTACGCAAATCTGTCGCGTAAATTCACTCAAACATAACAGTACACTGTGCCTCAATTCACGCCACATGGCTAATTGTTTACATCACGTGGTTTGATTGTGTTACAGAGGGGATTATTTATCAATATACATTTAAGATTTATGGAAACCTTGTTGAAAATCGTTGGTCTTCCCCTTTAATGGTCAAAACTCCAGCTGCAGGTTGGGGTTATAATTTTGAGGTGTTTTTTTTATAAATATCTTATTTGTAAAACCTTTGCACAATTCTAGAGTTTCACAATACTTCTTGTGTGCTTATTTTTTATTGCTTTATTATTGAAAACTTACACCTATCATGAAGTAGAAAATAGAAAATTTAGGTTATTCATGTCAAATCCATAACTGTACATTTTATTGGACGACTGTTCTAACTATCTAAACCAATCAGAGCAAGACTAATAAAATGCTGTTGAAATGGGAGAAAATCATACTGAAAAATACGTGCAAGCAATTTATTAAAATAAAGTTGGACTATGTTAGTCCCGAAATGGCCTTGTCTGTTTTGGGTTGGTGTCAAACCCATTCTGTCTCTCTTCATGATAGTTTTAAAGGACAATATTGGTGTCAGGAAATAGATAATAGTCCATAAATCCCTTGTTTTTATTCACTCTAGACATAATAAAAACATGGTAATGCACAGACTTTTACTATTTTTTTTTGTTTTCTCTTATCTAGTGACAGTCATTTTTTTTTTTGAATTGTCAGATATCCTCTCACAGTCTCACATAATTGACGGAATTATTAGTGAGCAGATATTCGTCCATTTATCTGTTATTATTCATCACTTCAGTCAGTTATATAGAAGTGCAAGTCATGTTTTCCTTTTGCTTTCGTCACTTCGACTGTTTCTTAAAATTTGCATTACGCATCTATCTTAGCAATGGTCTCTGAGTTAAAATTATATTTGGAACATGTTTAACCAGTTCTATCACATATGAGATAATGACTGACACAAATATTGCCCTTTAATTTTAAGTTCAGGAGGACTATAATCACTAGCTAATTAGACAGCTATTACTGTTTGGCTTTATATATGTATAAAACTGTGTGTATATTTTTTTTTATTATTTGTTATTCCAGTGTTGATGATGTTATACTATCTAGGTATTTATAAGTTCTTTAGTCATATGACCTTTACTCTTACAAAGTCTAATATTATTATTTCTTTAATTGTTTAAACACTAGATGCAGGTGCTTTGTTTTACAAAGAACACTTGAAGCAGCTGATCATATCAAATTTTCCTCTGCTTATAATCCATGCCAATATGGCTCATCTGAATTATTTAACAAAACATGACTAGATGATATCCTGGCTTGGATTTAATTGATTTAAAACGGGGCCTGTCTGAAGATTTTACCCAACATTTATATGTGATGCTGGCTTGTTATTGCATCTGTTGGGGATGCTGGATGTTGTGAAATTTTCAATTAATCATATCTTTGTAAATACTGAATGGAATTTAACCATTTTTTGGCTGATACGCCTTCAGATATCCAACCTTCATGATATCGTAGATGCATAGAATTTGAAATCCCTTAGATGGCAATCAGCAGCTTGAATTGATTATTTAATGAAGAAAATGAAATTAAAATACCAACAAAGATTACTAAGAGGCCCATCAGCAGCTTTGTTTTTTTCTATCATAAAAAACATATATATTGACTCAGCTTTGTGCCTGGCATGGGTTAGGTATTGCCTTCACTGGCTTGATCCTGTACTGTAATAATGACCATAATCTTACAAGAACTAGACTGTATATCATTTAACCAACAATACCATGTCAGAGTCAACTCGTGGGGTTGGGGGGTGGCCGAATGGTTAGTGTGTGTGCGCTGTATCATAAGGTCTCATTGAGTCAACTGGCATGGTTGTAAGTGACAATGAGTCTGGTCGCCTGTCCAACCTCATGGGTTTTCTCCTGAAATGACCTAGTTTGTGTGGAGTGGACGGTAAATCCCATTTCTCTCTCTCTCTCTCTCAGTAACTCAGGGAAATAGTTTTGTGAAAACAAAAACGCTCAATTTGATGAGATCATCTTTGAAAACATGTCGCTGACTTGACCTAATAGCTTACCTTATTTACTCTCCCCTTTCTCCCCTTCACCTAATAGCAGACCTTATGAACTCTCCTCCTCATCCCCTTCACTTGTTAGGAGAGAAACAGAAGGAATATTAGATTTTAGAAAAGATATGAACAATTTTGCATAATTCTGCACTGTTTTTTCTGTAGATTTTAAATGGTGTATAGTTTGTTTTACAAATCGTACCTTTTTGATTGTATCAGTGCTGAAAATGTTTATTTTGTACTTTTGATCTTTGTTTCATACTTTGTGGAGGGGGGGGGGGATCAGAAGGTCTGTCAGTGAGTCAAGTGGTGTGGTTTCAATTCCCCGCTTGTACGTGGCAAGCCTTGTGAGTTTTCTCTGGGTCCTTCTTTTTCTTCCCACTGCTAAAGATCCCCCCCCCACTCCTCTCATGTGAATAAATGTCTAAATAATATTTTAGGGGGGGTGGATGGCTGAATGGTTAGCGTGCGCGCGCTGTATCATAAAGTCTGTATCATAAAGTGACAAGGAGCAGGGACGCCTGTCCGACCTCGTGGGTTTTCTCCGGGTCCTCCGGTTTCCTCCCACTGCTAAAGACCCCTATGTGCAAGCGAATTATTGAAATAAAATTAAACCATATGTTAGTCCCAAAATGACCTAGTTTGTGTCGAGTGGACGTTAAACCCCATTTCTCTCTCTCTCACTTTCTCTCTCTAATTAATATTTTATATAACAACTAAAACCAAAAACAGATTTATTTCTTACATAATGCATCTTTAAAGTCACTTTCAGACAATATTGTGATTTAATTACACGTTAAAATATACTTGAATTCATTATTTAATGAAGAAAATGAAATTAAAATACCAACAAAGATTACTAAGAGGCCCATCAAAAGATTTCAGGGATAATCATCAGTGGTGCTGGATTGTGTTGAAAATTTCCTGCAATGAATGCTGAATGTTGACATTTTTTTTTGTAAATACTGAATGGGTTATTAGAGGTTCAAATTTCACAATATTGCAAATATTCAATCCATATATTTGATATACTCAAATAAAAGATCCCTTGACAATTAGAAATTAAAGAAGAGTGAGCAAGATTTCCACATTGCACACCTACCAATAGAAATAAGAATGATCATCCGTTTGACACAAAATGGTCGAAGATGACCAGGACATTAAGTGAAGCCCATCTTATTATATACATACAATTTTAACCTGACAGCCATATCTCTAAAAGGACATACCAACCCAATATGAATACCGGACTTTCAATTGTCATATTAGAAATAACATTTACATCAATGATTTTTTTTCTTCTTTTCTTCAGGATTCGCGATGACGGAGCGTTTGACAGTCAGTCAGCAGCCATTATCAAGTTAAACACGAATACCGTTTTGTATTTACGTGAGGTTAATAAATATCTGGCATTAGTTTGTATTTTACGTGAAGATAACTATGAGAAACAAGGTTGGTTATTACCCTACATATTCTCTTCTTCTTCGGGGGGGGGGGGGGGGGAATGGCCGAATGGTTAGCTTGTTCGCGCTGTATCATAAGGTCTGTCATTGAGTCAACTGGCGTGGTTTTGATTCCCCGGTTGTACGTGACAGGGAGTAGGGTCGCCTGTCTAACCTCATGGGTTTTCTCTGGGTTCTCTGGTTTCCTCCCACTGCTAAAGACCTCTACGCGCAAGCGATTTATTGAAATAAAATAGAACCATGTGTTAGTCCCGAAATTACCTAGTTTGTGTCGAGTGGACGTTAAACCCCATTTCTCTCTCTTCTTCTTCATATAGGGATTGGATGGCCAAGTGGTTTCATGTGTGCACTTTGATCACACGGTCTGTCATTGAATCCCCATCTTCATTAGCCCGGTCAGAGCAGAACAGTAGGACGTTAAACCCCAGTTCATTTCATTTCTGTTCTAGATGTAGCCGAACTTGTTTTGTACCAGTCAGTAGAATTTGACTTGCTTCACAGTCCTTTAATTGTCATGCGTCCTGCCTTTTAATAGTTATCTCCCTTTGTTGCATCTCCTGTCTCAGAGTTAAACAGTCATTATCTCCTTTTGTCGCATCTCCTTTACGGAACTAAACAGTCATTTAATAGTTATCTCCCATTGTCATATCTCCTGTCTTGGACCTAAACAGCCATTTAATAGTTATCTCCTTTTGTCGCGTCTCGTTTCTTGGAAGTAAACAGCCATTTAATAATTATCTCCCTTTGCCTCATCCCTTACCTTGGAGGTAAACAGCTGGACAAGTTTATTTAATGGTTGAGCCAGTTGGAAGGATCAGAAATTAACTAAAATAAATATATTGATCTATCAGATGTCAGCTTGTATTCAATGTTTATGTTTATTGCTGATCACTTAACTAGCTGGTCTACAGCACATGACTGGAATGCCTTGTGAATTACTTGTAAAACAAGCGTTTGGTAGTGTCCTTATTCCTACATTTAGTTTTTTCTTGTCAATATTCAGATTTATTGATTATAACTCTCTGTGTTTTCATAAAGTCTTACTTTATATATTTCACTATTTCAGGTTTAATTGATTATAACTTTCAGTGTTTTCGAAAATCCATACAAGAAGTTTTTGAAGTTCAACAAAATTCAGCAGCAGGAAATTCTAACGATGTGTTAATGTCCAATGGGATCATAGATAAGTCTCGTTTAACCAAAACATAGTGATGATCACCATATTGACTACCACTGTAATGACAATCAGTGAAAATATCAAGACTAAAAATCCAAGGGCAATAACTCTACAAGAGCAAGCTTTCAGTGTTATTGTGTTTTCAAGAGCACTGGAAGAAGTGTTTGTTGAAAATTGTGTAAAGTGCCAATGGAAAGATTATAGACTATGAAAAGATAATTGAACGTTAAAACAACCTTGAAATGACGTTCGTTTGTTATATAGGCTGAAAATAAGTACCTGTCATCAACACACCCTCATGGAATAATGACCTCTTCTGTTGTCAGGATTCAAATTCCTGTCAGTTTGTGCAAAATCTGGTTTTGAAGTCAAACCAATGAAAGTTTGAGCTTTGAGAGAGTTGATTGAAGCCAGTGCAATCAACAATTAACAGAAAACAAAATCATGTAGCTGTTGGTTTTCTTTTCAGTTTAGCTATTTGTTTATTCTTTATCCTTTACTTAAACAAGATTGCATTGACCAATCTTATTGCAGTGTAGTGCCTGCCAATTTTGTCAAATTCAAAATGGCGACTTCAGTGGAAGTTACTTGGTCCCCTCAATCTAAGGAGATTCTTATTGATATGATCTAAAGGACTTTACTTAAATAAAAGTGAATGAACTAGGGCAATTTACTTAAATCTCCTTTACATCACCATTTTGAAATTATGTGTGCACCCAGCCTTATTAATAATGATTAATTATACAGAAAACATGGGAGTCGCCATTTTTAATGTCACATGACACAGACGCTTTCAAATATTGTTAATCCAACAATGTTTATTTTTTATCTAAATAGTTGTTTACTGTTTTTTTATCACCGCACCTTGATGCAAAAAGCAGCAGCTGCACAATTTTGTTTTCCATTTGAAGTGACGTGCGTCTGGGTTTGTTCAGGTGGTTCAATCTTTTGACATGCTAAATCTATTTGTTAAGGCCAGCTCAATTTTTGTTAAGGCCCCTGAGATATAAATAAAATTAGGGCATGTGATTGTTGGTGAGATTCTAGGTTAAGATTAGTGTAAGCATTGGGGTTAGGTCCAGGGTTAGGGTTAGGGTTGGGATTACTGCTAGCCCTGTTTACATCTCGTGACCTATAAAAAAAATTGAGCTGGCCATATCATTTAGCACTAACCTTTTTGACATGCTTATATATCAGTCCTTTGGTTATCCAAGTTTTATGAAGCACTATTTTGATAATGATTATTATTATTAGGCTATTATATCGAAAAACCTTTTGCACGGTCAAATATTTTTCCTTTGTATAAATATATATTTCTTATTTATATATACAAGTAACATACCCAGTTTATTTGATATACAATGACCTTTCACCTCCAAATTCATATATATATATTTTTATGGAAATCTCACAAAATATTTCAAATTATGTAAAACAGTAGAACAAAAAATTAGCTATGTGGACTCCTCAAATGAGAAGTAGTATCAGGTTTTCTAGAGAGAGTAAGGATACCCTGCCTCATGCATGAGAGTGCTTACACCTAAATAAAAGTTGTATCAGGTGTTCCAGTAAGAGTAAACATACCATACCTAACGCACAATACACGTTAGAACCACCAACATTTACACTAAGGGTGGTATCAGGTGCTCTAGTGCTGATATCAAGTATCGATGCACCGCCGATGCATCGATTCTCTGTCGTTTTTTGTATTATCGATGCATCGGCAAAAAATACTAATAATTAGCTTTATGTGTCCGAGGAGTTCACAAGTTCGTCCACTAGAATAAAAAACACCTTTTCAATACGTTTTTCTGCGTGTTTTTTTTAATTCAAAATAAAACTATATATATGTAACGGAACAATTCAATGAATCCCGCACGAATTATTAGGCTTGACCTGTTTACCCTACGCTTCCGTTATGTTTGTCTCCATTTTCCAGTGACTACAAAGACTGCGTTTGCTGGTTACGTCCCCTGGCTATCATGTCCTTTAACCCCAAGGTCAATTTCACGGTTCATTTAAATGATCAGAAGGATAATATTTCGCAGCCGGTTTTTAACACTAGTTTTAAAACGATTCAGTCTTATTTTCTGCCACGGGCAATAGAGAATGTACTTCATAAAACCCTATAGACAGGCTTTGATACGATCCGTATAAATAATGCAAACGCTGTCTCTTGTAATCACCTCACACGCTCACTCCTCAAGCCTTCACAACAAATTTGAACAATGGCTAACGAGTGTCAATTGAAGTGAATCGGACGATATTAATGTCATAATAAATAACAGAAGAATATTGTGGAAATAAATCGGCATTTCTATAATAGGCCTAATGATAATGTTAGGGAAATTTATGTTTCTATCAGAAATACTAATGTTATTTCTGTAATTTTGGATTAATGGCGGCAAAAAATTCCTTATGCATCGATACGAGAAGCGATGTTTGCGTCCGATGCATCGATGCGTTAAATTTTACTTGATATCAGCACTATCTAGAGACAGTAAGCATATGTTTCCTTGTGCACGAGACACGCCAGTACTTATTGCTGATTAAGAAGTGTTTTCAGGTGTTTTAGAAATATTAAGCATATATTGCCTTGTGCATGAGACCCTTTGATATTACTTATAACTAAGTAACAGGTGTTCTAGAAATAGTAAGCATGCACAGTCTAGTGCTCAATACCTGTCAAATTATGTAAAATTAGTACAATTATTTTTATATTTAATGTGGACTTATATCGTCATCACCTCTGTCTGTTGGTCCAGGGTCCAGCCACAATTTTTTGCGTACACACTACAAGTCAGAGTTCTCGACATATTTGCCGGTATTGTTCATTTGGTCACAGATGCCACAATGGGTAAGGCATTGGCTCACTTGCCATGAGATCCTAGGTCTGGCCCCGAGTTCACAAAGCATTCTCAGACTTAAGTTGAGAATTTGCTCAACTTTCAATCACTGTTCATGATAAAGATCTTTGATGCAGAAACACAAAACTTTGCACATAGTTTCATATCGATGTATTTGATACCTTAACACAACAAAAGTTTTAGAAAGGGCTATATTTTAGTTAAAATAAGGTGAACAAGTTTGAGTAAATTCTCAACTTAAGTCTGAGAATGCTTTGTGAACTCGGGGCCTGATTCCACTGTTGGCTGAGAATATTCCTCTGGATTTTCCAACCTAATTTTAGTGTAGGACGGGGGGGGGGGGGGGGGGGGGGGGCTTGGTAAGGAACAGTGACTAGTCGTTTAGATAGGACAAAAAATAAAGGGTCCTGTGTTAATGTTGGCTTGTATGTATTAGAACACAGACTTAGGTCAGTGTACTGAAACATCCCTTTTATAGTAAAGCCAGTCTCTATAACACTGAACACATACAAAAAATAAAATAGACAAAAAAACTAAAATGATATACAAGAAAAGAAATAAAGCGAGTTATTTTGTGATTTGGAGGTAAACAAATGGTGTAGACTGTGTACCCTAACATTAGTGTAAGTGAAGCCTGTCTCCCTATCTCAAGTGTAGTCTGTTCTATTAACATTAGTGTTGTTATGTAGTCTGTCTCCCTATAACACAAATGTAGTCAGTGTACCCTAACACCTGTGTTATAGTGAAGCCTGTCTGCCTATATTACAGATGTAGTTTGTGTACCCTAACATCAGTGTTATAGTAAAGCATGTATTACAGATGTAGTTTGTGTACCTGGCTGTACCCTAACATCAGTGTTATAAGGAAGACCTGGTAAGATGCGCTGGACTGTTTATGTATAATTTGTTATATAAGAATTGAAATTAAGAATGATGGATATATAATGTCATTATAATTTGTTATAATTGTAAATAATATTTATGATAATAAAACTCTAAATAAATAAACAAAAAACACTTTTAAAATCTCTGAACCTCATTTGATAGATTGTTAATCCTCCTTTAATCTGGAAAAACCTATTAATCTAAAATAAACACAACAGTTCTATGGATAACAATTACTGTATTTCTATTAAAGCTATGTTTCTCTTGCCGTTATCAAGCACAATACTAATACTGTACAGTACGATTAGATGTTTATGCTATTGCATATGGTTTCATTATCATGATCAAAGGTCACTGTTCTCCTAATTTATGGTTTCATTGAATGTTTGGATTGTACATTGTATATATATTTCATATTGTGCTTGATAACGACAAGAGAATCATTGTTGAAACATAGCTTTAATAGAAATACAGTAATTGTTATCCATAGAACTGTTGTGTTTATTTTAATGTGTTCAATTACTAAACCTATTAACCCTTAACCGGTCATTGTCGACTCTAATCACCACAACGTTATGAAGTTACACAGCTAAGTGGTCACGGTTGACTAAAGTCGACAACAGCAAGTACCTTTTTTTATAAGCCCGTCTTCATTAGCCCAGTTCGGAGCAAAACAGTAGGACGTTAAACCCGGTTTTTATTTCTTTTTTATAAGCCACATTTGAGTATTTAGTTTCGTATTTAATTGATATGGCCACGAATGCGTGTCAGACAGGAACTTGTCTTGTCAAGTGCATTGAAAAAAACCATGTCTTTGTTCAACATTTTTTGACGAAAAACGTAATTTAACAATGTCGGGAAGGTTAAAAACGCTCAAAGTGGTTAAAATAATTATAAATGATTATATCGATGACACCGATTCTGAAGACGATATTTCTGATGAAATGGATTTAGAATGATTTGCAAATTATAGATCAACTTATGCCCTTCAACTTTTTTATTGGTGTCAAGAGTCTATCACTTATAATTATTCGGCAGTAGTCAATTGAAATAGGCATACAAAATATTTCATGTCAGCCTTTATTTAGCCTGACCACTTGACGTCAAAATGACGTCTAAGGGTTAAGACTGTTGAATGCAAATCAGTATACATGACATACTAGGTTCTTCCAGATGAAAAACTGCTAATAGTTGTCGGGTCACAACCCCTAGATCTGTGCCCATTTCTCGGTAAACAAGGTTTGACGATGGTTTCTGATAGAAGGGACCCTAGAGAAGATATCTGTATTTTGCTACCTCTGAAATCTACGGGCTAACTCCTGGAGAGCCGGGGGATTTGATGACTGAATGGTTAGCACGTGCGTGCTGTATCATAAGGCCTGTCATTGAGTCAACTGGCGTGGTTTCGAATCCCCGGTTGTGCGTGACAAGGAGTGGGGTCGCTTGTCCAGCCTCATGGGATTTCTCCGGGTCCTCCAGTTTCCTCCCACTGCTAAAGACCCCGACGCGCAAGCGAATTATTGAAATAAATCAAACCATGTTAGTCCTGAAATGACCTAGTTTTTGTCGAGTGGATGTTAAACCCCAAGATGGCAGCCAAAAATGATCCAAAATTGACCTTAACAAACATTGTTAGCAAATTGACCTGTGTAATATAGGCTATCATTTTATAGGTTTTGTTGGTCACCAGACTCATTTTGGACAGTTTCAATTTCATTTCACAAACCGTTGATCAAATATGGCCGGCATAATCTAAAATGGCGACAGAAATTGGCTGGAAAGTATTCTTTCAATACCAATAACAACACATACATGTGTCTTGTGTCGTTTCAGGGATTGTGGGGGACAAGAAACGCAAATATGCCATTTTCAAGCTTATATAACTAATTTGAAAGGACATAGCATAAAAAAATTAAGCATTTTCACGGATTTATATGGCGCATGATTACTAAACACTTAGTACCTCATGCGCTTTCAAGTATTTTTTGGTTGGTCATAAAAATCTATTTTGAAAAAGATGGGTTTACTATGCGGACTTGAATGTTTCGATAGATTTGGATTGTCTAATTATAATTGGTAACTGGTTCCAGAGATTATTAGCCTGGTAGGTGCAGAATGGAAGGACAATAAAACCCCCATTTCATTTCTGAATTACGATGTGGTCTTTAGTGTATTCTTCTTCTATTGGTGTTTAATGTCTGCTTTCACCGATGGTGATGTCGCAGACAAGTTGTCTTATTCTATTACCAGTATGCAGGGGTCTTTAATGTACGAGGAAACCCACGATGTTGAGAAGGCACCTCATTTCCATGCCACATGCGCTTACACACTAGAGCTTGATGTATGACACTCTAGATCACTATTCCTTTCCGGGGGGGTTGGATGGTCGAATGGTTAGCACATGCGTGCTGTATCATAAGGCCTGTCATTGAGTCAACTGGCGTGGTTTAGAATCCCTGGTTGTACGTGACAAGGAGTAGGGTCGCCTGTCCAACCTCGTGGGTTTTCTCCGGGTACTCCCACTACTAAAGACCCCTACGCGCAAGCGAATTATTGAAATAAAATTAAACCATGTTAGTCCCGAAATGAGCTAGTTTGTGTCGAGTGGACGTTAAACTCCATTTCTCTCTCTCCGCCCATCCCCTAGAGATCACCAATTGCAGCCTTTTATGCCAAGATTTTATAACAAAGGGGCATAACTCTTATGGTAATTATCGAAAAAAATTTACAATCAATAGACTTCTTCATTTTAATGAGATAGACAACCCATATCAAATATGCATAATTGTTCCTCTTATTGTGATAACCAGAAATGTTGGACAGCAATATATATGACCTCAATAAAATGAAGGCGCATAAAAACAAACCTATATTTATTTTTTTGATTTTTATTATGATGGTTTGTAAATGTCAAAACATTACAAGTGAGATTGTAACAAATGAAAAACATATGGCAATTAATTTAACATAATAGTATGTGAGACATGGTTTCGTATAACACTTAATATAAGCTAATTTTCTATTGGTTAATCAATCTATTGATATACCCAATCATAATCATCCATACAAAAAAAACAATTCAGGCGTGTACATTCTGTTCAGGATTATAAGCTAATTTTCTATTAGTTAATTAGTATATTCAAGCTTGTCATACATTGTATCGATTTCTGTTCAGTCATTTAAGCTGATTTCCTATTGGTCAATCAATATATCCAATCATAATCATCCATACAAAAAGATTTTAAGGCATGTCATAAATCGTATCGATTTATCTGTACTCATCTTCAATTCACATAGTTACTATCAATAGCCACACTAAGGTAGAAAGCCGACCCTCGAACACAAAGTAATTAACCAATAGAAATTACATAAAAACACTTGAAAAGTATGACATACTATAACATAACATTTTCGTTTTCTATACGGGCAATCACTTCAAATTTATATCAGTCAGTCAATTTTTGACATCAGCAAGACATTTTCCAAATAATGTGACAATTTATGACTGAGTCCAGACTAGTAAATTTGACTAAAACAAGAGTCCTGGCATATTGACTTAAGCCTAGGACAGATGAGCATATTTTTTTGCCCATTCACGCCGATTTTTAAAATTGCCTGCGTGTCCGTTCATGACAACAATGATTCTGCTCGGTTAACCATTCTCCCAATTGATTGCCCATACCTAGCATGTTAGATATTTTCGGCCAGTGATCAAATTGCCGGAAAATCCGCTCGTTTTGTGCGTTTCCAGTTATAAGCCAATCGGAGACATCATTGAGACATGATCGACGCAATTTATTCGCAGAGTTGTGTACGCTCTTGAGACCATTGCTATGTGTGCCTGTTGTCAAAAAATCGATAGCGAATTTCAACCAGTGCAATCATGCCAAAAAATACGCTTGTCTGTCCTAGGCTTTAAGGAAAATAAAATCCGCCCAACCATTTACCTAATTTACAAACATTGTCAACTTAAAAGACAAATTTCTGATTAGCTAATTACTATACAAGGCAGCTAATCACAATGAATCTTACATATAAATACATTATTTATGTTACACTGACTGTTATTGGTTGATTGTGAAAATTTTATGATTTGTGACCTGTGAAAAACTAAATTTTTGAAGATACATTACAATGAAGAGCTAAATCTGCATTTTGCAATTCTTCTTTGTAGATTCAAATATATAAATTATTATTTAGACATTTTGTTCACATGACAAGCCCATAATAAACTCTCTAGGTCATCTGATGGCTTAGATATTGAATTGATTAGAACATTCTCACCATTTAATAATTTAACTCAGACTTTGTTTATTATCGTAGTAATGGTACTTTATCAAGATAATGTTGTCAAACATTCAACCACCCATAACTTTGCTCAGAATAAAGTAATTTGACTGGAATTTTCAATATATTCATTTTTCAATATCTATTTTGAAACTATCATGGCAAGAACTTCCAGCTCTTTATCTCATTCTTACATAATGCATCTTTAAGGTTGTTGGGAATATATTAACTGATATGTTATCTGGGGAATGGGCAACAAGATTTTTGATAATTAAAATGGTTCACATAAATACTAATGAATGAATTAATGGCAATTAATATTTATAACGTAAATTTAATATCAATAATCAAAAATCACGCCTATTCAATACCAATGTCACTACCCCCCTAACCCCCATCCATCCGATGTATGTACTTTTCATCTAAACTAGCCATATCTAAGGCCAGGTGCCAATTTATCCCCTCTTTTTCATCATGCCAAGATGCAAATAATTTGTATCCTTTATCCAAGACATACTCAACAAAATCATGTATTTTGCTGGGAATATTTGAACATTTTCAAATACCACCTCCCTCCCCACTACTTCTGAAAAATCCATAAATTTACGGTAAGCATGTTCAAAGTGCATTATAAATACTGTTAACCTTCTTTTTATTCATTAGTAACATTTAATAAATATATATCATGTATTATATATATGGTTAGCATGCTCAAAGAATATAATAAATATATACAGTAGGCATAAGTATGTTCAAAGCACATGATAATATTGTTAACCTTTTGTTTTGTTCTTATAATTAAATTAATCAAAATATCTCACAAAAATACTAGGCCTTCGGTACTCGTATCCTTTAAATTACTCTTAAAGGACAATATTGGTGTCAGTCATTATCACATATGTGATAGAACTGGTTAAACATGTTCCAAATATAATTGGAACACAGAGATCATTGCCAGTTATATAGAGGGATAAATCTTCTTTTCTTTTTGCGTTCGTCACTTCCGACTGTTGAAACCTTCATTACGCAATATTGTCCTTTAAGGCCAAAGTGCTAAAAGGTTTAATAAATTTATATTTATCACAATTTGACATATATTTAGGTTTAATTCTACTATTACACGTCTTGGTGGTTTAAAGTCTGCTTTCACAATAGTGATAAGGCAGACAACAACTAGAGGCATTTTTTAACGACATCCTAATTCGTTTTCGATTCTCTTTGGCAATCTAATTACATTTAATCATGGCTGCTAAGACTGCTAACAATCACACTATTTTGTCACTCGGACTCGCCACACTCCGTCATTTTTGTGACCAAACATATGAAATGGGGTTTAACATCCTACTGTTCTGCTCCATCTGGGTTAATGAAGACGGTTGTGATCCAACAATACGCAGGGTACTTGTGTCGATAAACATGAATGATTTGTAAGTGTGGTTATCGAGTATGGCAAAAGCATGTCGTTAAAACCGCTTTAGTAGAAGCAGAGACTTGCTCCTATATAATGTTAGAGTATTTCACTCTTTCTATTTATTACAAGTGGTTTATTACAAAATATCACACAGAATAATCACAATATAACACTCCCTTAATCTAAAATAAACTCATCCAAACATCAGTGCAGGGTTCAGTTTATTTTAGATGTTGGGTCAGTCCTTGTTATAGCATTAGGGGGATCTTATTCACCAAAATGCAATGGTAGATTTCTATTTGAGCTTTATTTTAAGAATGAAATTTCACAACAGTAACCAAGTTCTGATTTTAAATTACAGTCCCTTTAAAGCCAGAATGACCCAGAAGACAATAATCCTTTTCCTTATTTAAATATAATCAAGAATTAGGGTTGAAAAGTGTTTTTTCAAATAATAAAAAAACAACCATTGATTAGATGAGATTAAACCAGTGATGGGATTTTGTCCGTTTATTCGGACTTGTCCGAATCTTTTTTCCAAACGCCCAAAATTGTCCGACCGGGAATATGCCCAATCGGACATCAAGACATGGTGAATAATATTCAAAATTCCGAAATTAATATAGTTTACTGCGTGTATAACTACCACTCAACCAGATTATCGTCATTAAACAATTATAAAAAAAAAACACTTTAGTCTGGATGATTGAGACTTTTAGTCTGAAAGATTCTGTGCCTTTTCATCTGGAAGATAGTGCCTTTTAGTCTGGAATATTGTATCTTTAAAGAGATGTAATATTTGAATGAATAAATCCCCAGGACTATAATATGGTGTGTTTGGTAAATATGACATCATGATAAATACAATAACTCTCACCTCCTACTAAAACATTAGTATTTTATTAATATACAAGTTTATAATATACATCCATGGTTTTCCACCAGGGAGGGGAGGGGAGGGAAGACTTATCACTTCCTGGGGGTGGGGAGGAGAGAGGGGGGGATCGTCCAAGAATTAGGAAAACTATAGAGCACTTCCAAGATTGTGGTCAGTCCACGTTTTGTGCTTAGCACATATATGCTTAGCACATACTTAAATAATACTCCATACCATACCCAAACATGTGAACTCTAATATATAGAGCCCTAGGTATCGACATCATTTTTTGTTATTTGACTGTGGAACATGTTGATGGTGAGCTGCAGGAAGGGCGGGGATTGTTGGAAAACAGGACTGAATAGGGGAACAGATCCAAAAAGGTTGTAAATCATGGATATAGATAGATAATTATATGTTATCTAAATAAGGCTATGCTGTATATATATATATATATGTATAAGATTAAATTATATGCAATATTTTTTCGCTACAATAATAATAAAGGGTTACTGGAAGAAATATAGAATGTCTTTCATGCAATGTTCCCTCAAAGTTTAAGTAAGTCTGTGTGTGAAAAAAATCTGAACTAAGCCTACAAGTTATTATCTATATCTACACCGCCACACAAACATATTATACAAACTACACAACAATATGCTGTACTAAATTGAATATTAAAAACACCCACATTTTGAAGATGAACTCATCCAAACAGTTGAATTATTAATATTTGTAGGAAAGCTCATTATTAATAAAAGGGTTGTTGCACGCTTAGAATTACATACACCAAATGTTAGTGAACACTAGCTACAAACCTGGAAATAAAGCACCGCATCCGGAACAAATTCAGACTTTGTCAGACACAATTCCTTACAAAGCATTCTCCGATTTAAGTCAAGAATCTACTTAAAATTAACTAAACTATAGCCCTTTATAAAAAAATTTGTTGTTTTAATACTTCAACAAGAAACTATATATCTCATAAACAGTGATTAAAATTTGAGTAAATTCTTAAATTAAGTCTGAGAATGCTTTGTTAACTCAGGGCCTGGTTAACTAACTTTTGCTAGGATTTATCTTTAAGAGACCACTAGTGTGACTCTGCCTTAAGTAAACTCATAAACATTGAGAAGTGTTATCCAATGTTGTAGCTGTAGAAAGTGTAATCCTACCCCGCCTCCTACATGGATGTTAAGTCTGAGACATTCATTTTCCATAACAACATTATTTATACATGTTTTCATCACAGTTTAGCTTGCATATTCATATAAACTACATCTTTCAATGGGGGATATAAACTACATTTACAACTTTCAATGGGGGAAGAAAGAGCAGGAGAAAAGAAAATTATGATTAACTAAATTCAGCAGTGTCTTTCTTTAAACATACATGTATTTCACTGGATAACAGGGCTGCATTAAAATTATCCAGACATAATTTTCCAACTGACATAGCAATTAGGCTGAATGAGAGCCTGACATAAAATGTTTTCTACATATGAAAAGAAAAATAGTTTATCGATCATTCTAACAATGATTCTGATTGGCTATTACATGAAATCCAATAAAGGTGTAGCCAATCATAAGGTAGTCTACTTGACAAGTAGTTTATCGATTTTTCCAACAACGTTCCGGATTGGCTAATACATGAAATACAATAAAGGTGCAGCCAATCATAAGGTGGTTTACTTGTCGACATTGTGCAATGGAAAGTTTAAATCATGATTTCTTGCAACTGTATGGCAACATCTCAATTCATTAATGTGTCAGTTAATTTTAACCAATCAAGAACCATTACATGTACTTTATGGCTATTCCATTTAAAAACCATTGTGAACTCGGGGGCCAGTACAGGTCGTGACATCACTTTTTACCAGATCAAGGAGGCCTGGAAATAGAGTACCTATCACAGATTTTCAGGCACCAACTCAGACTTTGTGAGGCACCATTTCAGACTTTGTCAGGCACAATCACTCTGGTACCTTTCATTTTGTATGTCTCAGACTTGCCTTTTTTTCTGATTTTATTAGGACCTAGATCCGGCACAACATCAAAATGTTCCTAGGTGCCTAATATTTTGTTGTCTATTTTTCTTGGTGCCTGATATTTCGTCAGGTACGAAGAAAATCAATATGTCCAAGCAACATATCACACTATATCCGCACTCGCAATAACATGCACATTTCCATCATCACTTTCTGGGTTCCATAAATTGTTGTTCATAAATAAATAATAATATAAAACTTAACAGCACTTTCAAATTTTGTTCAAACATAACAAAAATAATATAAATTGTTTAATCTGATTTCTGATCAAAGTATATAACCTGAGCATTTCACATTCTCTTGTTTTCATTCTCATTAAACTGTAAAGCTCAACCATACATTCATCCATTATTTCTTCCGATTCATTTGTCCATTTTTTCTTATTAACTTGTCCATTTTTCATATAAAATTGTCCATTTTTTTTATCATATTCATTTGTCCATTTTTTCTTCATCAATTGTCCATTTTTCAGCTTCATTCGTCCATTATTCTTATTCATTATCAATCATTTTTTCATTTTTACTTATTCATTTGTCCATTTTATTCCGCTGTATATGATTAAAGCTATTGTTATGGTAACTGAATTCTACTTTGGCTCCGCCCACCTTATCTTGATGCAGGTAGATTTAACCTATATTGTGCAGTTCACAATAATAATAAAAAAAAACATCTGTTAAACAATCATTCCAATTGTCCATTTTTGTAAACACATTATTTGTTGCGACATAATAATTTGTTCTGTACAGTTTACAACAGTCTATTTTCAGCAGTACTCAAACAAATTGTGTTCTGTGGAGTTTAAACTTATTAAAATTTAAAACAAAACAAAAAAATATTCAAAATTTGGCTGTGGTTATTTTCTTTTTTTCTGGAGATTTTTGTTTTTAAATGGGGTGTTATATAATACTAACTATTTTGGGGAGTAGCAAAGGTGAAACCCCAAACTTAACTTGACCACATGATAAAAAATGATATCAATATTAGTTTTTTTGTTGACCAAAGTGACGTGTAACACTATTAACACTATGATTCTATGTATCTCTTCAATCCTTCAACCTCTGACTTAAAGTGACGTCATAAATATTTTGAGATCTTCACTGACCAGCACTGTCAAAACTACTCTCCACATGAAGGTGCTGTCTTGTGCGAATGAAAACATTTTGGCTTGATTCACAATCTTGACAAATGCCGGGATCAAATTTTACACAATAGGATCAAATTTTACACAATAGGATCGTGCACTCACAAACAGAGGTTTAGTAGTAAAATTTGGCTTGGAACATCCTATATACATTTATATATTGTTTCATCTATAATTCTGACTAGGATCATCCTATATTGTTTCATCTAATGTCTAGGATCATCCCATATTGTTCATTTAATGGATCATCCTAAATTGTTCCATCTAAACTTAAGACTAGGATCACCCTATATTGTATCAATCTAAAGTTACGACAAGAATCATCTTATATTGTTTCGTCTAAAGTTAAAACTGTGTCCTCTTCAAATGACTCAATCTCTGGTAATGGCTGTCGCCAATAATTCACAGAACTAAATTCATTGGTTGGTCCTCGTTTCTTCAATAATGGAGGAAAGAAATGATCACTGATGTTACTAAGGCTTGTATACCTAAAATACACAAAAAAAAATTCTTAAAATATTTCTTAAAATAGGTTGCCTGGCAACAAAATATTCTGACACTTTGGACATCAATTTTTTTTAACATCATCAAGGCTTCCAAATTATTCTCGACATCGACTTATAAATGGTCATCCAGAATTTTTTTTTATTTATCAGAAACTGTTGCCCTACTCTCCATCAAATGATAATTCCTGCTAAATATCACGTAAGTGATTTTGCCATCGTCTAAAATTACTTACAAAATTTCAAATACTCAACGACATTGAGAGAAAACAACCACATTATTTTCTGTGAAATTCTACTTTAGGTTTACTTTCAATTAACTAATCGAAAACCAATCAGAAGTGTAACATAGGCTCAGTTATCAAGTACACACAACCCTGATAAAAGTTGCTGAATGGCACTGGATAATAGAAAACTGAGTCTTAGTTTCTGTGACTCAATGACAGACCTTATGATCTTACACACATGTCTTTAACCATTCGGACTCCCACCCCCATTTTGATTCAAACAAAGATATTTCTACTACTTACGATGACTGAAATTTATAGGATAGATCGTGAGTTAACTCCCCTTTATGGTTGATGGTAAAAATACGGAAACTTGGAATATTTAAAGCTCTGTATGCCACAACATCCTGTAAAAGACCATTGTTTAGAAAGTTTTAAGATTTTTCGCAAACAAAAAATTGTCTGATTAAATCCACTGAACATCATTTGGCAGATTTTGAATATTACAAAAGTTAAAGCTCTACATGGAAAATAATTCCAAACAGGATACACTTCCGTTCAGTATTTACAAAGATATAATAAAGTGAAAATATTTCAAAATTAAGCATTATAGGAAGAATATATAAACAAACCAGCGCCACAGTGGCTTAAAAGTGTAGGGTAAACTTTTTTGATTGGTCCCTTCTTAAAGATGCATTATGTACGATCTAAATCTGCCTATTGCAGGTCTTTTTTTGGCTTCAAAAGTTATATAAACTATTATTTAAACATTTATTCACATGACAAGTCTATGATTAACCCTCTAGATCATCGGATGGCAGAGATTTAAATGGATTGAAAAGCAGTAGCCATTTAATGATTTAATTTAAAAACTGACAAAGTGAGGTTAAGCCTTGAATAACAAGTACCCTTTAATATGATAATAAACAATCTATACCACATCTTGTCAAAACTACAAACTAGGATAACTCCGATCAGAATGAAGTAATTTGAATGAAATTGTCAATATATTCATTTTGCATTATCTATTTTTGAACTATTATAGCAAGAACGACCACCTCTTTATTTATATCTTACATAATGCACCTTTAAAGGACCTAAGTCCGTAACTCAAAATCCTCCAAAATCTTCGACATCGAAAACACGAATTATTGGTCAATTTAAATCAACATTGATGATGTAAACTTACCGGGAAAAGATGAACTTCTGATATCCGATATTTAAGATAAAATAATTTTTTTAACATTGGTACATGAATCGTGTACCATAATGCACTTCAGCCCCAGTTGTATTGAGAGACTCGAGGAATGAGGCTAGACACATTGCACCAAATCAAATGGAGTTATGTAGACTAGAATAACTAGACGCTAGAAATTTGCACTCGATTGAGATCGTTGACTTATTTCGCCGAACATAACTGATTTGAAATTGGAGTAAAAACGGAAACCATTAAATGTAAATCAGTTTATATACATTCATATTACAGTATTATATGCGTTGCGACCCACTTTTGTGAATTTCTAGGTCCCAAATGTTAGCGATTTAGCTCCTTTAATCCAATTGAATCTAATCATAACAAAATCAAACAGTTCACCTATGGGGATTATAAGTCCAGATAGTACCATATTTGGTGCATTCCCTGTCACCCGATATTCTTGAGTTTATTCGATTGAAAATTTTCAAGGGGTTGAGAAAACCCTAAGGAACTTTCTCAGTAGGTCCTGGTTAGTGAGCTAGCATCTTACACACTGAACCACTGTGGCTTCCTATTGTATTATAAAGTTTAAAATAAATAGTGAATATCTTACATTAATTTTATTACCGAAGCCAGCATAAAATGGTGAAGCAGGGAACAGATCAGCTATATCTTTTAAACAGTTGATTTTAAATTCTTCTGGATTCTTTACTATCACTTCCCTGGTAAAACAAAAAAAAATCTTTTGACAATAATTCTAATCACAATTCAACCTCTCACATAATTCAACCTTTCAGCCCCCCCCCCCCCATAGCTTAAGTCCCGCGCCACACAGATCAAGACAAACCCACCCTCCAACCCCTTTAGAAAATTATTCTTAGTCCCCCTCTCCACACCTCCAGTCCCCCTCCCACAGCTTAAGTCCTGCAAAGCTTAAGTCCTAAGGCCCCTGCCACACAATCTGATTAAAATACAGATCTATATTTCGTTTCGTTTTCTTATACTTGTGATGGCCTACACTACATGAAGATCTTACCAGTTGTATTGAGAGGTCGAGTGCACGCCAAGAACTCGCCGTAACAGACCATTTCATTGACTAATTCCTCATATCTACTAGAACGCCTGTTATATAACAATTCTTCCAGATCCTAGTGTTGTGAAGACAAGTAAAATGGAATTTTGAACTATAAAGAACGAAACAAAATAGGATCTGTGTTTTAATAAGATTGCCCGCCACACAGATCCAGACCAACCCACCCTCCCACAACTTCCACCCTCCTTCCCCACAGCATGGGGCTCAACTATATAAATAAAATATGGTTATTACCTGTGAAAAGCGCTAATTAAAGATGTCGGATTGAGTAATAATGGTCCGTCTGGTAAAACCAGGTTCCCTTGTTTTATATTCTTCAATAAATCTTTAGTTACTTTAGATTGACCAATGGCTCGTGCCGATAGATACAGGAACTTGTAGCCGTTATTACCTATACGTGTAAATAAATCTGCAACACCGGATTGAGACCAGTCACGCCCTATGATTGGTAGAATCTGACCTAACACGTCTGACCTGAAAAACAACATTAAATAAATTTATTAGGAATACCAGTGGCATTTTTTCTTTTTTTATTTGAGTGAACGCTTATGGCTGGCACTCAGATCCTTTCAATTTATTTGATATCTGTTGATTATTTCTTGCAATATTTGTGTGCATGTAGCTCGTCTTGTCCACAGGTTTGTCTTATCAGTGTGCAATTACTACAGTACTTTATTTTTATTCAAGTTTACACTACTAAGCTGAGGACTAATGTTATTATCATTGTTTAACATGTCACTAGACATTTTGGATTGTCTGTGACATACTGTGTTTCTGTTGTGTAGTTTGTGGTACACTAGTAAACTTACTTGGTTGTAGTATATTATATAGAACTCTGTATTTCAATTACTAGTAAACTTAATTAATGATGGTATATTATATAGAATTCAGTATTTCAATAACTAGTAAACTTACTTAATGATGGTATATTATATAGAACTCAGTATTTCAGTAACTAGTAAACTTACTTGGTGATAGTATATTATATAGAACTCAGTATTTCAATAACTAGTAAACTTACTTAATGATGGTATATTATATAGAACTCCGTATTTCAATTACTAGTAAACTTAATTAATGATGGTATATTATATAGAACTCAGTATTTCAGTAACTAGTAAACTTACTTGGTGATAGTATATTATATAGAACTCAGTATTTCAATAACTAGTAAACTTACTTGGTGATGTATATTATATAGAGCTCAATATTTCAGTAAGTAGTAAACTTACTTGGTGATAGTATATTATATAGAACTCAGTATTTCAGTAAGTAGTAAACTTACTTGGTGATAGTGCCATCTATATCTGATATAATTATTTTATCATCGTATTTCCACAGATAGATATGTGATGTACATCGTGTTGTACCTTGATACTGAGTTGTTACAGAGAAAGTAACCTCATTTACACCTTCATGTAGATTTAATTTTTTCTGTAATACAAAATGAAATGAAATGGGTTTAACATCCTACTGTTCTGTTCCAACTGGGCTAATGAAGATGGGCATAAGCCATACAGTGTGCTGTGAGGGAAATTTTGCCCATGCAGCGGCACTATGGCCTACTCTTATTTCGAATTCCAACTGTCAAGGGTTCTTTCATTTGCATGCCAATATGTACACAGGACCTCGGTTTTTCGTCTAATCTGAACGACTATACATAAAATAAGCAGCATAGTCATTAAATAGTTCACAAAACTCAGGTGATTTGAGGCACCTCAAAATCTATTACAAATTTGGGATAATGCCAAATATTGGAGAACAACATACGTCAAAAATGGGCCGGCAGGAAAACTTGTGAACTGAAAGCCCTGTTTAAGATAAATCAGAGATTTCCCCTTTTAAATAAACTTACAATTTGTTCTGTCGTTAAACGTAGACTCTTTTTACAAGTGTCATGTGTACCAGTATCAATAGGTTTGCTATAACCCGGTGCCTGTATTTTATTTTTACCAGACGAAGACCCAGATAAACTACCAGCCTCGGAACCTTCCGATTCCACATCACTGACTGTATGATGATCAACATCTTTTACTCTGTAATAATATACATTGAGAAATTTATAATGCAATGAAAGAAAGCTGATGATGGTGATGTCAATCATATTTATGGGTAGTGATGGTGACTTTTCTTGGAATATTAGCTGTCTAGATTTTGGGAAAACATCAAAAACTCAATTAAAAGGGCCATAACTCTGGCAGTAATTATCAGAAATTGCTAAATATCACTAGGCTTAAGTTTTAAGTCAATCGAATAAAAACTTTAGCCTTCAGAGCGCCAACAAGAATTTTCAAAGCAATCAAGGGCTATAACTAGAATTCAAGTTATTATGATCGTGAGGATCATTATAGGCGTGACGGCTTGACCAATGACATTTTAGAAGTCAACTGCTTTCTCTGAAAGGCGGTGGACAAAAAGCAGAGATGAAATGTTCTATTTCAACAAAATCTCACGTAGCTTTTGTCATCTTCAACTGGATAAAAGAATAAAGAACTAACCGTTTTTCTTTTCTAGGTGTGCTTGTTACACTAGTTGGTTCACTGGATGTAGGAGTCACATGTAGACTAGCTTCTTCCTGCAAAAATATAAACAAACAAATATTACCTAGGAAACAAAAGCAAGGAATTTAACAAATAAAACTAAGTCATTCTAGAACTAAGATGGTTCAATTTTTTCTAGAATTCTTTGCAAGTAGGGGTCTTTTGTAGATGGACGAAACTGGAGGACCTAGACAAAACCTACAAAGTTAGGCAGTCGACCCTACTCGTCATGTACAAGCTTGGGATCGAAACCGCACGACTTGACTCAACAGTAGACCTTATGATCTAAGGGGCACACATTAGACCACTCAATCACCCAACCATAAGGATTTTAATAAAAAAAACATCTGTTATTCTCAAACATTGTATATTCAGAATATACCCAGATATTGACACACTGTTTGTTCTCCAACATGCTCAATAATGGCCAAATCATTCTACCTGATTAATTACATGCACTTGCTTCCCTTGCAGTTGCCCAAGTCTATATTTGGGGGAGTATTTGTCTGCACGCCATCAATTTGATCATGGTAGGCCCTGCTTGAGGTCTAACAAAAGTTTTCGGGTAAAATGTATCTCAATTTTTATTTAACGACAAACTAGGCTATTTTGGGACTAACATATGGTTCAATTTTATTTCAACAATTCACTTCAGCGGGAGGAAACCAGAGCACCCGGAGAAAACCCACAAGGTTGGACAGGCAATCCTACTCCTTGTCACATTCTAGCAGGGAGTTGAAACCATGCCATTCGACTCAGTGACAGATCTTTTGATCTAACATGCATCCATTCAGCCACCCAACCCCCCTCGACGATATGAATACTATATAATAGAAATGAAATGAAATGAAATGGGGTTTAATGTCCTACTGTTTTGCTCCGAACTGGGCTAATGAAGACGGGCATACGCCATACAGTGTGATATGAGGGAAATTTTGCCCGGACAGCGGCACTACGGCCTACTCTTATATCGAATTCCAACTGTCAAGGGATCTTTTACGTGCACGCCAATGTGTACACGGGACCTCGGTTTTTCGTCGTATCCGAACGACTAGACAGCTGTCCTTGTCAGCCCCTCCGTCCTGCTATATAATAGGCTTTAACAGAAAATATGCATATCTTACCACTTTAGGTAACAAGACGTCTGATTCAGACGGTAAGTTGGTATTAGCTGGTAAATGAATCGTTGATGGTATATTTGTGGTTGATGATAAATTTGTGGTACTTGGTAAATTGGCAGAAGTCGTACTTATTACCAGAGTTCTGTCTTCTGGTATGGTTCGTCGCCATGGGAACCAAGAACCTCCCGTTTTCTTCTTCTTAGGCATGTATTCTTTAGTTAGTGATTTCACTGTATCCTGAAGAGATAACATTTCAGTTGTGAATAATTCTACGATAAATAATACAAACAATTTATCATATTGAAAACATAGGAAAGAATTTATATCTATAGGCCTTTATGGACAGAATTCATTTACATCGGCCTTTTCGGACAGAATTCATTTACATTGGCCTTTTCGAAAAAGAGTTCATTTATATAGGCCTTTTCATGTTGCTCAATTGTTTGAACTGAATAAATTATATATAATGGCAATAGCGCCGCTGTCCCGGCAAAATTTCCCTCATGGCACACTGCTGGAAGTTAATCACCATTTTATTTCTGTAAAAGAAATCAAATTAGGGTCTTCATTTCTGTCTGTATATAAATATCACAAAAAATTTTTTGACAGCCATTGACAAGCCGGGCATCAAAAATGTCAGTATGTCAATCAATTTGGATGCCAGATAATTCAAAAATTAATTATAATTAATTTAAATGCATAAAAGACAGGAGAGCAAAAAAAAAACTTCTTCTAAATTTTCGTATTAAAAAAAGTTTCCATTGCCTGCTACTAGTTATTATTACTCCAGTGATTTGATACAAGGAAGAAGACATATCTTTTAGTCAATACAACTTTTTAGAAACTTTCATCTTTATCTGTCAACAGTTGGTCTTACTTTTCCGAAGAAATATTAGGGAGTGAATTTCAGAAAACAAAATCTACATTTAGCTCTTAAATCTAAATAAAATACATGCACATTAAGTTTGTAGTAAAAACATGAAACACAATACAAATTACAGTGATCAAACTGAGTTGCCATGCAACACATCTTTTTTCTAAAAGCTTACAAAAAAGGTCTCTTGATGAACTTAATGAAAGTAAAATAGACATCTCTGGACAAAAAGAAATTGATTCAATTATGGGAAGTCAAATGGGATAAAAATCTAAGAATGAAACATAACACACAGGATTTTTAATTAGACAATATTGTCTGTCCATACAAAAAAGAAAGCAGCTGCTCTTATTAATCTATTTGAAAACATTGAGAGAACTTGACCCTTTAGCACCTGGTACATGTAATATGGACTATCTCAGTTAATTGAAAAAATCTGATAAACGTCATCTTTTTAGCTTTGAATTTTCTAGTTTATTTTCAAAACCACCCCAACCAATAGCTCCCTAGACTACCTCAAACCAAAAAAATCACAGAACTATTATACAGTCCTTATATAGTTCCCAGCAACAGCTATTCACGGTACAAGGCTTTAGACAAAGCCATAGTCTCGAGAAGATGCAATAGGTCAAGGTGCCAAAGGGTTCAAGTAAAAAGCAGAACAAGTATTGCTACATAAGTTGAGTTATTTTCACATATTTGTCGGTCCATAATACAATTATAAGGCATTATTTACATGAAATAATAAAATAGACATTAAGCGTCTGGATGACATTGACAAGCATGAATAGTTACAGCACTGGTCTAATTGAGCCTCAAGCTCCCGTTCCAATGCAAACTACAAGAGAATATTAAGATGTTTGTTTTTAAAAACTAAAAAGACTGGATGTCAATAGCAAAATCTCAAGCCGAGCTCTCGGTTAGACAAATGGATGTCACAGTCTACTGAGATGGTTATAGAAAGTTGGTTAAATTACCATGTAGTGCAAAAATCAGAAAATAATAAACGAAACAAAATTAATTTTGAGATTTGCCCAATTTCGACATCAATAGTGAACAGCTTAAATAAACATTTTTCATTTTTATCAGAATCGAAGAGGTTGTATCAGGGCTTGTCAAAAAGAAAATGATGGCGGGCAATTTAGCACTCACATAAAATTAACCTTGCGGCAGTGACAATCGAAGAAAAGGAAACCTTTCAGTTTCACAGTGTCTGGTTTGAAAAAACCGATCAATATTGACCCAAAAAGCAACGATTTGAACGATGTGCGTGAGCGACTATCTACTCGCCCAAAAACAAATTTGCTTGAGTTTTGTGCGTGGGCGAGTGATCGCAAATCCTGTTGTATCCATGTAAAATAGAAATCGATAATTAATTAGTACACCACCGCTAATATTTATAGTGTAGATTTTAATGTCCAAAGTGTCCTTCAGGTAAAATTTACAGGTAAGATCCATGCTGTTGACTGATAAGATTAAGAAACTAAAGCCTCATCAAGATTCAATTTTCTACATACTTGTGGTAAACATATTTGCTAAACAACATAATCATATGACTTTAGGGCACCTGTGTCTGTACCTGGATTCCTTTAATTAATTTCAAAATATCCCATCTGCATTAGCCCAGCCAAAATATATGGAGTCCTATTCAAACTCAATCTTCAACATTGAAGTCATTGGAGAAGTTAATAGTGATCTGAGCCAATATGTGAATTAACTCCCTTGAATTGTGTTATTTTTTTTTTCAGTGGTGATGTTCACTGACCTCCAGGGTTACTGCATTTGCAATGTCTGGTGGGTGGAATCAACCCTAATAATCCCCACCAAAATAAACCTATAAGGTCCATGGTATTTATCAAATAGACTCACAAACCAATAGAACCTTTTCAAAAGATTAGGTTCAGAAATGATTTTATTACACCCTTCACCCACAGAATCCACAAACGACAATTTTCAAACCTGGCATTCCCACTCCACCATGATTTTTATATGGAATAGCCCCAGCATGATGATTTGTGGAGCAATAATCTAAATTAGAAAAAAGATCTATAATAGAATAGTTACCTCAGGTAGATCTTTGTGGAAGACGACGTTCGATAAAAGCATGGGTGCTGCCACCTGCCAGTTAAAATAACCCCTGAAACAACGTATCATATAACCTTTATTTTCATAAATTATTTAAATGTTATTTATTAATGTAACTGGAAATACACAGGGCAAAGTTCTATGGAAATGAAATGAAATGGGGTTTAACTTTCTACTGTTCTGCACCGACTGAGCTAATGAAGACGGGCATACAGTGTGCTATGAGGAAAAATTTTGCCCGAACAGCGGCACTATGGCCTACACTTTTTTCGAATTCCAACTGTCAAAGGTACTTTTATGTTCACACCAATGTGTACACAGGAGCTCAGTTGTTGTCTAATCCGAAAGACTATACATTATCACTTGCTAGGCCCTCCGTCCAAGGAGGAACCACACTGGAATCCTGATGAACTTTCACGGCCAACACCGGGTCCTCTAGGTTAGCGAGCCAATGACTTACTCACTGAGCCACCATGGCTCTGACAATGATATGCAATACGATAACAGTTTAATACTAAGTGAGCTAGAGACCACTAGTCAAATCGTCATTTAGTAATAAACAGTAATTGTTTTACACAGAATTTCATTTCTACATTTGGTGATTTTTTAGAGTGGTGTAATGATCTTAATGTGTGTGCTCTAGATCAAAGGCCTCATATCTGTTCAAGTCATAGATCATGGGAATTGGCGTGACAAGGATCAGTCATCTGGCTAACCTTGAAGGTTTACTCTCAGAACTGACCTGCTTAGTGCCGAGTGGATGTTAAACCCCCCATTTCAGGTATTTCTCTTTCAGTTATTCTATGCAGCGTTGGATGGCCGGTTGATCTTGACATTTATAGATTTCTCTTTCTTATTTTATTTGCTGGCAAAAATTTAATCTTTCCAGGTGCTAATATTTCAAATATTTACTGAAGAAGGACACCTTTTTGTCCAAAACATCTAACCATGGAGTTCGTCTAATCTACACTGGTTACAGGGCTCGCATCTCGTTATATTTCAAATAAATGTTAAGATCACTTACTTATCATGGATTCTTACAACTAAATCTGGGTCCGATATCATATTAGGTTTCTCACAAAGGTCACCAAAGGTCACGACCTTCTGCATGAACTTCTCAAGATTAACCCCATCGGGGTCGGACAATCCACCACATAAAGATAGAGACACATGTCCAAGGTGACGAACTTCCGATTCCAGAAAACTAACAGGTCCTCCAACAGCGCCATCTACTGAATGTGGGGATTGAGGTAGTGAGGCTCCACGACCAGATTCACAATCGTCATCTCTTATAGACATAAAACTGAAACAGGAAAAAAAATTTTGTTCTTAAAACAACAATGAAAAGAAATCAGGTTTAACGTCCCACTTTTTCTGTACCAACCAGGTTAAACATGCATTATGCTAGAGCTAAATCTGTCTATTGCAGATCTTTCTTTAGGCCTGAAATGTTATCTAAATTATTAATTAGACATTAATTAACTTATCCAGGCCATAATCAACTCTAGTTGGCATTGCTAGCCTGCGATCTTTAGTGGATTATGAGCCGATTTACTGAATAACTTTCCTTTACGATTTAATGATTAAATGGATAATCAAGACTATGCTGTTTATCGTACTGACTTTAGTAATGATGATCGAGGCTAGGCTGAAATTTCAATCACTTAGTTCTCGGTTCATAGTGAATCAATTTGAATGAAATTTTCAGCAAATTGTCTTTACATTATCTAGTTTTGAACTATTATAGTGAGAACTGCCAACTCGTTATTGAATCTCCCATAATTAAAGATAGTATCATACAGTGTGCTATGAGGGAAATTTAGCCCAGACAGCAGCACTACAGCCTACTCTTATTTCGATTTCTAACTGTCAGTGGATAATCAAGACAGCATACGCCATGCAGTGTGCTATGAGGGTACATTTTGCACAAACAATTTTTCCACGCACGCGACCATGTACAAGATACCTATTATTTTTCGTCCCATCTGACTGCCTAGACAATGTTCCTTTCCACCTCTCTGTCCTACACAACCAACCATGGTATTCCCTCTTCTCTTATCTTATAACGCACTTCATGGTTTCCAATTATTTCATTTCAAAACAATTTAAAGAAAGCAGTAATCACAACTCCCAACATATTTTTTAATGGAACAACCCTCAAACTTTATTTCTACTGACCTTCTAGGACTCCCCAAATACAACTTAGCAATTTCGGGGTCATCAAGTTGAAGGTCATCTAGGTAAACACCATCTGCTTCCTGTTGTTTCATGGAACTTTCCCGCTTCCACAGTTTAAACAATTTACCAGATTGAACATTTTTAGCATCTGAAAAACAAGGAATTAGTTCAAATTCGACCATTTAATTTCAAAATTTTCGTGACCTATGCATTGGGTTCCTATGACAATTGCTGCCTAGACATCTGACATCTGCCGCAGTGGCTCGGTGGGTCAACTCGCTAACCTGGAGATCCTGTGTTCATTCCGGGTGGGCAAAATTTCCCTCATAGCACACTGTATGGCATATGGCAGTCTTCATTAGCACAGTAGAAAAGTAGGATGTTAAACTCCCATTTCATTTCATTTTACATAAGATGTAAACAAGCCAAGGACACAGCTAGAAAACTGACCACAGATGGAAATCTAAATAATAGGACTCAAAGGATTAAATTGACCTACCTTGAGAGGATTTGGCCTCTTCATCGGATTGGCTGACTAGAGTAGAGAGAGCCTCAGAGGATGGAGGTTTGGGAAAATCCCCCCAATCCCACGTAGCGCTTTCTTCCAGTAACATGGAATGTTGAGTTTCTTCTGCTCGTTGTCGATCAACTTCTGTATCACTTTTGGGACTTGGTGGTCGCGTAGCAACAGGACTGAATAAAAATAAAAACAAGCAAGGTAATACAATATACAGATAATTCAAAAAATCAGTTTAAAAATAATAATAATAATAATAATAATTTATTCAACTTGTATAGCGCCAAAATCCAGCTTGTAAAGCTGCTCTGTGGCACTTGTACTAAAAAATATATATGATTATGAGTACACAATGGCTGTAATCTCATAAGTTATAACCATTTAAACATCAATAAAAAATAGACTGATAAAAGCAAACGACAAGTGGACAACACCTCCGAGCATATTTGACGGCAAAATAGATTACGTACCATTGGTTAAATGAATCAACAACTTACCTACATATGGGAGATAATTCCGGATCACTCAAAGGATGAACAAAGGAATTTGACCTCCACTTCTGAAGAGCTTCTTCGTCTACCTCATCGACTAATGGATAGGTTAAACTTTTACACAGTTTTGTGTTTTGGGCGACTTCTTCTCCATCGGATGACGTCTCAGAGACTTCCATGTCAAACATGGCACCGCCCTCGGGAACTGAAGTAGACATTACCCTTGGAGATGATTTTCCACCAATCTTTCTCTTTTTTAAAACTTTTTTACGTGTTTTCTTTTCTTCCATTTTATCTTCAATAGAACTGTCGCTTTTATTGTCTTTCATTAAAATTTTCATGGCAGATTTGAAATCGTCATTTTGCATATTTTCTGTTGTCTCCTCTCCAGGTGACGTAGATGTGTTTGTCTGCAAGGGACTGCTTTCGGCATGCATGTGGGATTGCTTCAATTCTATCAGTCCTTGTTGCATTAATTCTAAGGATGATGGAATAGGTGATGTGGCAAGATGAGCAGGAACATCCTACAATTTATAAAAAGTCAAAGGTCAGTATTATTTTCTGGAATTGTGCTGTTTGGACAGCATAGGTTGGGGATATTTCTAAGATTTAAAGACTTCAAAGAAAAAGTAAGGTAATCAGAATGCAATAACAAGTTGAAATAACTGATCACTGATAAGGATGACATCAATGCGACTTAATGAGCCCCAAATTCTAAAACATTTTTTTAAGCATTAGAAAAATAAATTATTTTTTTATTTAGTGTAAATGGGTATTAAAATGAATAAAAAGCATCATTCTGCCCAAACTAGTAACATTTTATGTAAACAATGCACACGCCATTGAGCCAATGATTGACGTTGTGTGATGTGACGTCACGTGGAGAAGTTAGTCATCTTTTACAGGGATATTAGAAGACTTTCATAATCCTCTGTAAAACAGATGAGAACACTTAAATAAAGGGAGGTAACTGTGATGGGTATGATTATTACCTCTGGTTTATCAACTTCTTCAACAAAGAAAGCCTCTCCAGCTTCTCCTAGTTTCATCTGTATATCAGCTGGTAAACCATTGACCTCGATATCAACCTGTTGACACAAACAAAAAAAAAATCATTACACGTTTATCTCAATGGTAATCAACCTGTTATCACAAACAACCAAAATCATTAACCCACAATATCAACCTGTCGTCACAAACAAACAAAATCATTAACCCACAATATCAACCCTGTCGTCACAAACAAAGAAAATCATTAATCTCAGTGGTGAACTAGTGATCAACCTGTCGTCACAAACAAACATTCATCTCAACCAGCACTATAAAACTAATATCGTTCACTTATTAATGAAATTTTTTACCATTGAATGATACAGAGCAGTGGAAACTTACGGTTGACCACGGATCCATTCACTTTATTTGATATTTGTTGTTTATTTTTTACAATGTCTGTGTAGTTATTTTGCGTCCTCGGGTTTGTCTTATATGGTTCTAAATTATACAGTTGTCATTAACTAACACCAAAACACCAACAATAGACATGATTAACTGAGTCGTTTAAAAGCAAAGGCCATACAAAAAGGAACTTGTAACTTACCACTTTTTCTCTGGATCGAAGTACGCCCATTTTACCAAAACGGACGTGAAATGGTGAAGACGTGTAGGTTCCATCTTCTTGTTGTGTGATAACCACGTCTATAGCCCCTGTCAGGGTAGCCGAGTTGATCTCATTATAAAAACCCCTCACATTAGAAAAGATTCGCCCTATTAACCCACTCATAATGACTGTCTTTGATCTAGGTATTCATCAACTTCTAAAGAGTTCAAAGGTCACAGGATAGTGAAGTTTCTTAGGTTAACTCATTTAGTCTTGTTACAACTACCTGTAAACAAAGAGTAGAAAGTAAAGCAAAGTAAAAGAAATAAAATATGGGGTTAAACATTCACACTCAAGTTACTTGAGACTATCATCTCGTAATCTTCATTTTGAATAATAATGCACTTGAACTTTGGTCCTATTTTAATCTCTTTATTTCGCCAAGTGTCTTTACAAGATGGATTTTTTTTAAAAGAGCTAAATCGCTAACATTTGGGACCTAGAAATTGACAAAAATGGGTCGCAACGCATATAATACTGTAATATGAATGTATATAAACTGATTTACATTCAATGGTTTTCGTTTTTACTCCAATTTCAAATCAGTTATGTTCGGCGAAATAAGCCAGCAGTCTCAGGCGAGTGCAAATTTCTAGCGTCTGGTTATTCCAGTCTACATACGCCGTTTGATTTGGTGCAATGTGTCTAGCCTCGTCCCTCGAGTCTCTTGATACAACTGGGGCTGAAGCGCATTATGGTACACGATTTGTCCTTTTTTAATCTCTTTATTTCGCCAAGTGTCTTTACAAGATGGATTTTTTTTTAAAGGAGCTAAATCGCTAACATTTGGGACCTAGAAATTGACAAAAGTGGGTCGCAACGCATATAATACTGTAATATGAATGTATATAAACTGATTTACATTCAATGGTTTTCGTTTTTACTCCAATTTCAAATCAGTTATGTTCGGCGAAATAAGCCAGCAGTCTCAGGCGAGTGCAAATTTCTAGCGTCTGGTTATTCCAGTCTACATACGCCGTTTGATTTGGTGCAATGTGTCTAGCCTCGTCCCTCGAGTCTCTTGATACTACTGGGGCTGAAGCGCATTATGGTACACGATTTGTGTACCAATGGTAAAATGTTTATTTTGTCTTAAATATTGGATATCAAAAGCCCATCTTTTTCCGTTAAGATCACAACATGAATGTTGATTTAATTTGACAAATAAATCGTGTTTTCAATGTCGAAGATTTTGGATGATATTGAGTTAGAGACTTAGCTACTTTAAGGAGAGATACATGTACATACAGGAATCAAAATCCACTTCAATCAAACTAGTTAATTATTCTGAGATTAAAGTCAAGTTAATCTTGCGAGTAGCGATATTTCTGCCCGGGGAGAAAAACTGTGAGGTTACACTGACGGAGAAGGTTAGGAAAGGGTCAGATTATTAAAATCATATATAATTAATCATTCAATAAAACAAGATAATGTAAACCTTTTACTCTTTAAGTAAAAACATCAACATAGTCTTTACATCCTGTTACAAGTTTACAAGTTCAAAAGTTTGTACATTTTTTTTTGTGTGTGTGTATTAAGATTGATCACAGAGATTTGATACATGTAAATAATAATCATTTTTTAGATTGTCCCCAGAGATTGTTATCTACATGTACATGTATAATGTTTTATTCTCACATTGACCACAGAGATTGTAATGTTTTATTTTCACACTGACCACAGCAGAGACTCGTTTAACATGGTGACTAGGTGGCGCTGCCGCCGCGCTCTGGCCAAACTGTGCCGCCTACTGAGCCCAAAAGTTAAAGACTGGGCGGCAACATACATACGTTTTGAAAATCGCTGACAAGGTTTTTCCCAAGTGCCAATACTATATCATGGTGCATAGGTTTACAAAATCGTCTTTCTGATTGTTTTATGGGTATATTTCTGTCTGCGGGTATTAATCAATCCATGGTGTAACAAGATGCCAAAACTAATAGTATATCAAATCTCCGAAACTATTTTTTAAGTGCTCAGAAATTGAGTCTAAGGGAGTCAATTTTCAAAGTTTTGGGGGGAGGGCTCCCAGACCCCCTCACGGGCTCTCACCTGAGGTGTTCGCCGTCGGGCTTCGCCCGATATTGCCGCGCACAACCAAATCCTTAGACGAAGCTCTGGACCGCAGAGACTACAAAGTTCTCAAACATTACCTGTGTTCAAATCCAAACTCAAAACTCATTTGTTTGTTACATATTATCAGGATTAGCTATTATCCTCCATGCGCTTAGAGCATGCAATATGGATGGAGTGAGCGCAATTACAAATGTGCATTATTATTATTTTTATTATTATATAGGGTTTTAATTTTACACTGACCACAGAGATTGGATACCTGGTATATATAATGGGGGTATGGAATATTCAAGTTCTTGATCTAGTGTTACAAATTCATTTCACAATGCCATCTTTATCTCTCTTGGAAAACTATAGTAACAACAGTTGTGCTATAAATTTTTTGTAAAATCCAACCAATGATGGTCCTTTTACATTCATAAAACTAATAACAATCTTTAAATAGGGCATATTTTTTGTCCTTTCGAATATACATGTACATGAATGTGATCAATCAATGTAATACATGTACCACACAGTATAACTATGGTATGAAATGAAATGGGGTTTAATGTCCTACTTTTCTGTACCAATATGGCTAATGAAGACGGATACTATTGTGTACAATACATTATAAATATATGTATACATGTTCATTGTGTTGTGTCACAAATAGTAAAAAGATATCTTTAAAAATTATTTTAAACCATGAAAAATAGTGCAGAATTTTTATCCTATTGTCCATCTTCATTATCCCACTTGGTGCAGAAAAGTAGGAGATTAAAAATTCCATTTCAATATGATTTCCTTTTGAAATATATGAGACTGATCTTTTATGTCCCTTGTGTCATCAACAGTGAAAAGATATTTTGAACATTACTAAACAAAATCCTTTAAATATAAATCCCAAAGAACTAACAGAGATTCTTTATCTTTAGACGTTTTCTGGCAATAAATGAATAAAATGAAAGTAGAACATAAACTACCTAGACTTTGTACAGTTCAAAGTCTATCAAATCTTTAACCAAAGACTTTACGTTTTTAATGCACTGTTAACTACCGGTATGTGTATTCAAGTATTCATTCCAGTCCACTGTATCACATGCTTATTCAAATCCAAATTAGGTCATAAGGTTTACCTGTCTTGACTAATCAGAGATGAGCTTACAACATGTAAATGTGATATAACATTTGAGTCAATAAATACGTATTAAATCTAGCTTTAGACAGCATATATATAGGACCTATAAATATAAGTACTAAGTAGATCTACCGGCCTTAATGTCAACATAATTTCCTTCACACTTACTTGACTTACTGGGGTCACCGAGGTCAGTTATGATGGCTATTTATAAATACACCATATGGTCAATACAGATTAGTCCTAATGTTACCCAAGTTGAGTTTCAAGGATATTTCTACTGCTGTCGAGTAATCTATTATTATATAACACATGGTCATAGACCATATGATTTATAACATGATCAGACTTTCAATGATTAGAAATGAAATGGGGTTTAATGTCTTACTGTTCTGCTCCGAACTGGGCTAATGAAGACGGGCATACACCATACAGTGTGCTATGAGAGAATTCACTATCACAAAGACTAAATTTTCCCATTAAAATTATAGGCACAAAAACTTGAGGAGGCACAAAAACACTTATGATACAAAGTACATCATTGTGTAGAGTACCGTTAATTCAGCAGGGGCTTATGTGTGGCTTTTGGTCTAACACATGCACTTTAAATCATAATGTCTGTTATTGAGTCAATTTACGACAAGGAGTATGATTGCCTGTCCAACCTCGTGGGTTTTCTCTGGGTCCTCCGGTTTTCTTCCACTGCTAAAGAACTCTACGCGCAAGTGAACTATTAACATAAAATTGAACTATATGTTAGTCCCAAAATTACCTATTTTGTATCACGTGGATTATTGAAATAAAATTGAACCATATGTTAGTTTGTATGAGTAAAAAAACCCTCTCTTTCTCTCCGCCCCCCCCCACCCTCTCTCCTTTTGATTTAGTCCTTGACACAGAGTAATAATAACAGTCATCACTAGTTATAACTATATCACAAACACTAAAACCATGGACATCATTGATCAAACAAACACTCTCAGTATGATTTCCATTTAAATACCAGTCCATCTGTCACCAGTAAGGTCTAATATAAGTTAGGATCACTGAGGTCAGTCATATTGCTATATATTAATTGTATCAACAAACCATATGGTTGTTATAGATTAGTCCTTCTCATAATTCAAAAAGTTACTCAAGTTTCAATGTACATGTGCCCTTGCTACTGTAGTCATTTCATAATTAAAATATATAGTCATACAGTAGATTGTTATCGTTATCAAAATCAGACTTTCACCAATAATGTCACTAAGTTGAAACTTTCATTAATGTAATAATTATTAATGACAGTTGATAGTAATATAAATGTAGTGACAGTCCATAATTACAAAGATTTGAAAAAGAAAATAAAATTACTTAAAGTTAAAGAAGTGAGTGGTTCGAATGTTTTAGGCCATCGAATTTGGGTTGAGCAAATGACAAGCACCATAGTTTTCGCCAGAATTTAAAGTTATAATTTCATATTTTCTAAGAAAGTCAAAACATAATTATTTCTATGTCTTTTGCTGAATAGGTTGTCAACTCACTATTATACGATCATGGGTTATCTTTCTCACACTTAAAAATCTTCACACCGGAAATAATAACACAATTACCTCCCTTGTTTTCCTATTCCCCACCATGGAATAGCTATCTTCAAACGTTTGAATTTGAAGTTGAAAATGATATTTTTGCCAATTTCTCAACTGGCAATAGTGAATTATAGGATTAATAGGATTATTCTTTAACAAGGTAGGACTATTTATAGATACCATCTATTTTAGGGCTTTATTTTAATACATTTTAAAAATATAACTTAAAAATATGAAATTGTAACTTTAATGCATCTATTTGTAACAGGTGCCTTAAATCAATAAATTTACATCTGCCAACATTTTCATGTGGGAGTATTTTTTAGGTCGACCTTTGGTATGTTCAGATTTTTAAGAATTTGCTGCGGCTGACCGATTCGATTGGGGGGAGGGGGGGGACCTGATTCTTCCTCTGTCACCCCTAAAAATAGCTCAGACTGTTTGAATATTCATCAAGTT